GGTTTTGGAATTTATCTTCCAAATAGGCACTTTTAGTATTTTGGACATCGTTCCTACAAGACTTTTTGGGACATTTTTATCTTTCTTTTACTGTGAACAGGCCTCTCATTTGAAGAAAGAGACTGGCATCTTCCTTTTTCAAGACTCCATATGAAAGAGAAAAAAAAAATTAATTTATAGTTCGAATCTTCCTTGATAACGTATAAAAGCTCCTTTTTCTTTTTGGAAGAATAGATTTTGAGTTCTCCGATAAGTTTTTCAACTTCCATAAACTTTCAAAAGAAAAAGAAATGAAATTCAGCAGTCGAGAGATGGTCATCATTCTGAGTATTCTGCGATCATTCATATCATCATTTCAGATGTTTTTGAGTACAAAAAAACATTTTTTTATCACAAATTATCGTGCATTTGCTTCATTTTCCCAGAATTNGGTTTTGGAATTTATCTTCCAAATAGGCACTTTTAGTATTTTGGACATCGTTCCTACATGACTTTTTGGGACATTTTTATCTTTCTTTTACTGTGAACAGGCCTCTCATTTGAAGAAAGAGACTGGCATCTTCGTTCTCTCAGCGCTCTGCTAGGCAAGAATTTGTTTCAAAGGTATCTCATGATTATGAACTAGGAGGAAAGACAAACCATACAGGAACACCTATGAAGAAACTTTTCCAAAGAATGATTGGTTAACATAGCGAATTCTCAACTAAGAGATGATTGCAGGTAGTTGAGAAAGCATTTTCCAATGAAGTATTTAGTTTCAACAAACTTAAAAGCAAAGTAAACACAGAGAACACAAAATGTGAAAAATGTTTTGGAGGATATGCCAAGGGCTGTATCCAGGCCACTAATGACAACAAAACGATCGTAGTACCTTGATGTCATCCTGGCAAAGGAAACTCCTAATCAGTCATTACGTCTCCATATTTATGAATCGAAGACCAATTTGATAAAACAACTGCCGAATTTTGGAGAGAAAATATCATTTGAAAACAAAAATATTATGAGCAAAACTTTCAAAACTGATAGTATTTCTTTGTTGTCCTTCATTTTCAGTGAATCACCAAAAATAATTTTAATGAATCATATTCTTATTTATTTTGCATCTTTTGTCCTTTACTGGCGAAAAGTCATAGCGCTAAAAGCTATCCTCAAAAGTTGAGACTCTGTCCTTTCTTTTCATTCAGAGCAGTGCCATATACTGACATATTGCTGTTCCAATCGTCGTTCATTTGATTGAGTTGATAACCGTTGAAAGCCCAACCTTAGATCCTTCTAAACTATTCACAAGAGAATGACGTTATCCTCAACTTCTAGAAGCCCCAGAATGAAAACAAGTAGAAATGCTCGAAATAATTTCATATAATAGCTCTGGCAATTAACATAATGTGCACAGAAGTTGGTTCTATTTCGCAGCTTCTCCTTATTTGATCCTAACACGAAACTTCATCATCTCAATCGAAGTTCCGACAGATCGAGAGCTGACAAGAGCTGATAACTGAGTATCTTTTGGTGTGCAAGAACGACGTGACTTTTTTCCATATCTGGCACTGCCTAAGGCAGTACGACAGGTTCTGGACAGGACATATTGAAAACGATGAAGAGGAAGAGGAAGGGGAAGAGGAAGAGGAAGATGAAGAGGAAGAAGAGCTGATTCAGAGTGAAACAGAAATTCCCATTCCGAATGAAACAGAAGAGGATGAGAATAATAACAAGGGAAAGGACAGTGCGATCCGAGTAGATGAAAGTGACGAAAGTGATTCTAACTTTTTCGACTGATTTTGGACCAAAATTTGGGTTTATTCATTGTTATATGCGTGCTGTTATAAAATGTTGTTGAATTTATGAAATGTGTGCTCCAGTTCGAAATGTGTGACACAGTTTACAACACTTCAAAAGTCAACTGCAGTCAACTGCAGTTGACTTCAGCTTTTTGTGAAGTTGGTTAACTGCAGTAGAACCAACTTCACAAAATCGTGAAGTTGGAAGTTGGTATGAAATCGGAATGCGATTTTTGCCCAAGTATAACTGCCTTCTTAGTGTACGCAAGTTCACGTAAACGACGTTTGTGTTAACTCGCCAAACTACGACCGTACGAAAATTCATGTATGCTGGCGTTCCATTTTTCAGTTAAAAAATCTTATATATCTATTCATAAATGGCGGAGGTGTCACAAAAAAAAACAGAATTTCTCGCTCTATCCGTTTTAGAAGACATATGTGATCAATATGTGGTAAGTCTCATTAGTTCTTCCGAAGATAAGCCGAAAGGATTCAGGAAGAGTTAAAATTATACTTAAACAACCAAAGAGCTATTTGTGCTATGAGAGGTACCAGTGATCGGAGCATGCCAAGATATAGTTTTGTTGCTTTATCAAGAAAAATATTTGATCAGTATGATACTTCTGTGGTAAGTATACAAAGTTTCTTCATTCTCATAGTGTATATTAAGATCGCAAGTTTGTATATTTCTCTGTTCGATAGTTGTGATGAGTATTATAAGAAGAAAAAAACGAGAACGGTTGGAATTCGTGCGGAACTACTCACGATGGATGTCTCCGAATTAGTTTTGAATGTAATTGTAGTTTGCTTTTTCAACTATAGCTACCATTTTCAGCTTATGGTTCCTTATCAGTTACCTCATACTACTAAGAACGCTGATCCTCATAATCCTAAAGTTTGTCTGTTTTCTTAACTTAAATAATTGTAATATTTTCAGTTAGTTAAACGCTCAACCATAAACCCTCGAGTTCGGCTCACTCAGGAACAGTCCAAAGATCTTCTGGTCCGTTGTTTGCCCATTCCTGTCTCACCAGAGGTACTTCCGTTTAAACTGTTCTTTCAAGCTTCTTTCTTTGAGTTTTGGAAACAAATTCGGTTCATTCTAATGCCTGAAGGAAGCGTTAGAAGATGCTCACAGTTTGCCGCTTTAATAGGAGAAGCTGCTGAAAATGGGAAAATATCGTAAGTCGTTTCCAATTTTTGGAAGAGATTTTTTTTGATGAACAGTTATGGAGCCTTAGTTCACTGTATGCAAAACGATTCTTTGAATCGCAACTTGAGTCCCAGATGTATTCTGCAAGCTTTGTACCTAGGATTTCTTCGGGCTTCAACAGTTGAAGTAACTTGTCTATAAGTAATATCACGAATAGTTTTGTCTCATAGTTTTTTGCCTCTGGACGACCAGCAGAGTTCAGAAAGCAGTGTCGGGAGTTTATTTTTCTTGCTGAAATCGCTAAGAAAGATCCTATCGCCTTCAAGTGAGAGGCTTCATTAAAATCTTTGCTAATTTTTGCTTCTTCTCAGGAAGTACTGTCCTCCGAATATCGAAAAGAATCCTTATTTATGCAATTATCGTACTTTTCTCACCCACGCTACTCAACTGTTAGATGAACTGCGTGGAGGTTAGTGCCATTACATGAAATCTTAAAAAGTGTTGTTCAAGTCAAAAAATCGATTCCACCTATTAGTTATGGATGGGCTTGTGCTGCTATAAAGAAGTTTGGAAAAAGAACCTACCACGATAAAGTTTCGGCTCAACACTTACTTTCATAAAAACTTTTTTTTTGCAGACGTGGCCTACTGAGAATCTCTTTGATTTGATTTGGACAGTTTTAGTTCAAAGACCTAGTCTGAAAAGGTTAGTTATCATCTCTATCTTTATGACAGTATTAGATTGAGTATTTCAGATTCATTTGTGAAACCCTTGAAAAAGAGTTTCAGGACATTGAAGCTGCGCGGTTCTGGAGGAGGATGCAACCGGATCAACTTGACAGAATCCATATTCAGAATAGGTAAGTTTCGCAGCTTACTGTGGACTAATTGTTTTCAGATTGAATACCCGGATCGATCCTCTTTTCACATCTTCTGAGTACCTGAATTTTCCTCCATATGTCAAAGTAATCGTTCATCATGTTTAAGAAACATTTGGCTATCTTGCAGGGTGTACAAATCATTTCGCATCCGTCTCAATTGAGTTTTTTGACTAGTCAAATCAGAGAAGAAGTATGATTCAATCAGCTTGTCATTGTTAAATTCTTTTTGAAGGTGGTGAGGGCAGGGAAAGCGATTGTTGGACTTGATGCTGAATGGACGGCTTTCACCGGAGCGAGCAAGTATGAATTATCTTCATTCTAACATTTAACTTGGGAAAATAGGGCCAATATATTGCAAGTTGCGGTTCGCAGTATTATTTATATAATTGATTTGGATGCACTTAGTACCCAAGCAGACCTGAGACATTTTTTTGTTGATCTTTTCCTCGACAGAAAGATAGTTAAATTAGGTAGTTTGTCTTTTCGTAAACTGATAAGTTGTCATTATTGTATAGGTTTTCAATTTTTTGAAGATTTATTGCAATTACGTAATGCTGTTTCCCACTGCCGAGCTTTGTATGAGCCGGAGAATGTTTTATGTGTTGGTAAAATGGTTCGATCTGTATGTCTGGTCTATTCGGCTTTTTTCATATCATTTTTTCGATTTCAGTTTATTGAACTCAGCGAAAAACATCCTGACTGTGCTGAAATTTTAAATGATGTTGTCCCATATTTCTCATTGACTCCTCTGGACGATACAATGGAGTCTCTGCCGGAAGAGCTCGCAGCCGCTGCTGCCACTGATGGATCAACTATCAGTAGGTTTTCTCTATAACTGTTTGATATTTTTTCAATTTTTGAGATATGGAGGAGAAAGAAAGAGAAGACCTTAGTGACGTCCACGAAAGTATGACAGGGAATGATGTAGATGAAGTAGAAGGTATGGGAAAAGCTGATGTGGACGGAGGATTAGAGACTGATCGAGTGAGAGAACCGCTGGAGCCCCGCAAGGTGACATCACCTACGAACAGCGACTGCCCACCAGATCGGTTATTGAACAAAGGTCTCTCCTATTTTTGCGAAAAAGTATGTTTTGTCCAGAATGTTATTGACATAATTTTTCTCTATAGATATTAGGGCGTCCGTTGGATAAAACTGAGCAGTGCAGTGTTTGGGATCGTCGTCCACTGAGGCCACTACAGGTAACGTGATAGAAGCTGCTCAAAACATCAATGTTTTCTATTACAGATACGCTATGCTGCAATGGATGCTTATTGCTGTATAATGCTATATGATGTGTGCTGTAAATGGGCAAAGCGACTTGGTACAGATATTGAGACAGTAGTATCAAATCAATCACCAATCAGAGTCTCTTTACCATTGTTCAGTGATGGCGGCTAATTCTCTTTCAAAACTCACCCCATGAATTAATCGAGACAACTTTGTCTTAAAACTATAATACATCAGCATTCTTTTGCTCTTCGAAGCAAATCCAAGCTATTACCAACTATCAATCTGACTCTTGAGCTAGGTCACTCGTTTCAACGGTCCCATATCATACAAACTTCTTGTAAATTTCATTTGTAATTACACAAACTTCCTCCGCATTACTGTTTACTTATTATCACTTCGCAGAAGTCCTGTTAATGCGTGCGTTCCATCGAGTTTATATTCCAATCTTGAGCCTAAGTTCTGTGAGATATTTTCTTAATAAGTTTAGTTAAATGGAACATCATGGTCTGATGAGAATAAATTTTTATTTATTTTTTCTCTTCTGTTATTATATTTGAGTTTGCTAGTCTATAATAAACGTATTTATTTTACATTGTTATGTGGTTGTGTCTACGTGACTTCACGTGAGATTCGACAAATTCATTTGAAACTGAAACTAAGCAGAGAGCGGTCGCATTCAGCAGATTGAACAATAGTATATTCTTGACTTGAAAGATAGAAAACTAAAATGAGAAAAATGCCGTCCAATATGTCAGCTTCTATCGCTTTGCCTGACTTTTCTCCACATAAAAACGTAAAAGATCAGTGTTCGTGAGCTAGGAAATCTCTCTCTAAAATCGCAGCTTTTTTTGTGCTTGGTCCATGTTGGTTCATCTTCTTTCAGTCTGTAATGGACTGGCAATACCTTGTTCTAAGGAAATCTTTGGACCGGTTCATCTTAAATGCCTGGTGAGCCTTTTTTTAAAGAAGAAGCTTGGTATCAGCCTGTCAGCAAAGACTTCGAGCATGGAAAAAAGAAGACGGGTTGCTTAACGACCTATATAAAGGGTTATAAGCCAGATATCCATAGACCACCATTCTTCAACGGTAATGGAGGGGGAAAGCATCAAGATTAAGGTGAGTTAGAATTTACTTAGTTAAGAGTTATTTTCAATTTGTTCTCTTATTATCTTATAATACCGTTTTACTTTCAGGCCTACAGGGTTGTTGGGTACGCCGCTGTTACCTTCTCAGCAATTGCAATTCTCTCTATCTGTATAACTCTACCAATGGTCTACAACTACGTTCACAGTGTCCGTCGTCAGATGTATGGAGAAATGAACCAATGTCAAGTTAGTTTACAATAATTAGGCAAAAAGAATTTATTAAGTTAGCATAACACACCTTTGAATATTTTTTTCTGTGAAAGACAGTCAATCAACTGAACTTGATCAAGTTTTTGTAATCCGCGTACACTTTTTTTTACTGAAGGGCGTGTACACGTCATTTCATAAAACGCTCCATTAATCCATTCAATATATTGAACATATAGATGTGATACATGATTTCGTTTTACAGACAACCGCCAAAAAACTCTGGGCTGATGTAAACATTCTCAGAAATACTCCTGTTTTCCCAGGAAACCGTACTGCCCGTTCTTCCGGGTATGGAGAGCCTGAGGAAGTCGAAGTTCAACCATCTCCAGTCCATCCATCTGCTGGTGGATACAGCGCTCCTTTCGGAGATTCATCTGCTGCTATCGGAGAAGCTACTCCATCTTACAACTCCGAAGGCCGCTCAGGATATGGAAGCGATAACTCTCCATCTTCATATGGAAACAACGGAGATGCTCCACCAGCCTACTCTAACGGCGGAAACAACGGAAACAATCGTCCAAGCCACGGAAACAACCGACCAAGTTCCGGAGGAAACGATCATTTTGGCCACGACGACAACGGCTCTGAAGATTGTACCGATTGCTGTCTTCCAGGTCCACCAGGTCCAGCTGGAACACCAGGAACACCAGGAAAGAACGGAAAGGCTGGAGTCAACGGACTTCCAGGAAACCCAGGACGCCCACCAAGCAAGCCATGCGAGCCAATCACTCCACCACCTTGCAAACCATGCCCAAGAGGAGCTCCTGGACCACAAGGCCCACCAGGACCAATTGGAAACATTGGAAACCCAGGAGAGGCAGGAAATAAGGGACCTGACGGTCCACCAGGAGAGCCAGGACTCAAGGGTCGTCCAGGAAACCCAGGAAAGCCAGGACCACAAGGACCACAAGGTGAGCCTGGTACTCCAGGAGAGAACGGAGAACCAAAGCCAGGAGCAGTTGGAGAGCCCGGAAGACCAGGACCACAGGTTATCCATCTATTCTTATCACTTTTCAACTAACAAGGTTATATAGGGACCACGTGGACCACCAGGCAAACCAGGAAAAGACGGTAATGCTGGAGGAGAAGGAGAGAAGGGACAACCAGGAGAGCCTGGACCAAATGGCGAAGATGGAACTCCTGGACAACCAGGAAAGCCAGGAAAAGATGGACATCCAGGAGAAAGAGGAATTTGCCCCAAGTATTGCGCTAATGACGGAGGAATCTTCTTCGAAGACGGAACAAGACGTTAAATTTACTGAGATCATGTTTAAGTTCCAAGTGTCATGTACATCGTGTAATTTATATGCTCAATATGGCAATTGTATTGGTTTAACTAAAATAAAGCTTAATTTCATTCATAAGTTGATTATTTGTTAGAAAAATGAAACAAAAAAAAAGATCAAAACCCGTTGAAAAAATGTACAAGTAAGTGAAGTAGGTTTCAAATCCAAACCGAACATGCTCCTCATTTCAATTGTTTCATAGCTGCTCCGATTTTTGTCAGACTCATCTGCGAAACGAAAAATTGCCAAATATAAACTTTCGTTCTCACCTGTTGGGCGAAATCCAAACTACGTTTGGTTTCGGCATCTTGTGAGAAAGATGGATTCAAGCCAACGATCACCATAGTTTTGCTTTCCCCTCCTCCTAAGCTATTCATTAATAGCTGCGTTAGTTTCGAATCACGATAAGGTATATGAGAATTCTGAAGAGAGGCTCAGAAACTAACATTCTTATCACGAACTGATTACCTTATTCAGTTGAGATCTAATACATTTTTGTAAACTTGATAAACCCAGATTAATGCAAGTCATTTCCCTGAATCTTTCTTTGTTCTCATCAGATCCAGATTCCTTTGCGCGTTCAGAACCGGCCAAATCCACCAATGACAAGCTAGAATGTAATTCCGAACCTATAAAAAAAGAAATTCTTCATTAACACATCTATCTTCTTTAAATTATAAAAAAAAACAAAAGAAATACCTATTATAGAATTTTTAGCAATAATCTTAATTTGGAAAATGGCATGACTTCTACTGGATTGAATATTACACTTGGTAGCCGCAACAGATCTTGATCGTCCGGCCGTATATAAAATCCAATTAATCTAAATCAATTTAAGACCAAGTTGAGAATTAGAAAAAATACATCTTCTTCAGATTCGATTCTCTTAGCGATTGCTCCTTCCACAACTGAGGTTCCATTATTCATCCTTAGCTGAAGCTTTTGTCGGTTGTTAAGCAAATCATAAACTTCTTCAACGTAAATCTCGAGAAATGATGCCGTGATATCGAACTGAAATTACTCAATGCCTATACAACGAGAGGTGAATCACCAACTAACAGTCCAACCGATTTCAGAAAGTTTACTTCGGTTGCTAAAAATACTCCGGGCTGAGCGTGGTATCAATCCTTCTTGTTGTCCATCTCCTAATTATAATATCCTCAACACATGCATGCATGCAAACCAAACCTCCAATCATTGTATAAGTTTTTCCACTTCCCGTCTGTCCATAAGCTACTATGGCTACGTTATATCCATGTAAAGATGACTGAAACATATCTTCAATAGAAGCAAGCAAACAAGCATACCATAACAAGTTCTTCAACATCATCGAATATCACCTTTTGGTTTATGTTAGGTCCATACACTTTCTGATATTCAAAGGTAGTTGGTTTTCCATTCTAAAACGATGATTGTTGAGCATAAACGAAAAAAAAACAAACCATGTCTAATTTGATGGAAGTCTGTGATGGGTATTGCATGCTTATCAAATTATCTTCTCCAGTTAATGATGGTCTTACACGAATAGCGACTCGAATTTGACCCTCAAAGTGAAAAACTTAAAAAAATTCACTATGTTCAAAACCTTCAGGTCTACAACATCGTTCAGTAACTTCCGTATGATAGAGTCTTTGTGACAAAGTTCCTTCCTGCCTTCAGTAATCTTCCTTCCGAAATTCTCTATAGTAGCTTTGTAAGAAACCTCCTTCGATTGCAAGCTCTGGGATTTTTCCGTTAAACTAATTTTCTCAGATTCCAAGAACGTTAACTTTTCCTAAAAATAATTTAGAGTTTCGCTAAGAAAAGGCAGTTAAACCTCTGCGCAAGACAACCTCAACTCAAGAGATTCAATTTTACAGTTTTTGCTCTCAATCTGGAAAATGAACACAAAATTTAAATAAATGAAGCTATCAATACCAACATAGTTTTAGTGTTAAGCATCTCTTCCAATGACGCTACTTTTGAGTTGAGATGTTCCAACTAGAATTATTCGAAGGAAAAGCACTGATACAGTAAGCACCTGTTCATTTTTAACTTTTAAGGTTTCCTCTAGTTGTTCTATTTTTGAGAGAAGTTTATCTTCCAACTTACGTGGAGCAGGTGGTTTAGCCAACTTAATACAACCAGTTAACAGGTAAACAATAATATTGACTTACAGACTTCTCCCGATCAAGAGATGTGCTGCGCAGTTGGGTTCGAGAAGAGGGATCTCTGTTAATCTTACGAGATGTGGCAGCTGTTGGAGCCATAAAGGACGGTGGTCCATTTACTTTAAAGTGTGAATCTTTCAACATTAACTTTGAAACTTCGTACCTCGTTTCTTTTTCTCAGTCTGGTTCTGCCTGAGTTGCAATCTGTTAGCTGAAAAGAATAAGGAAGATATAATTTAAAAAATTAGAAATACTTGAATCCTTTAGAGGAGTTGAATCCATTACGTCAGTAAATGCACCCGTAGAGATTTGAGCAGTTTCTTCCCCCTGATTTTCATTTTCATTTATCGAAATTGCGCGGCGGTGTTTTTGCGCGGCAATACTAATTCGCGCATGTGTGTGCACTTTTGATTTATCGTGCCTGTATTATATACGATGATAATTTTTATCAGATGTGGAGTTCATTTTGGGCAGATATTCGGCTCAAACTACAATTGGTATAAGGAAATGAGCGATTTTAATCGATACAGTTGAGAAAGTTAGGGATATTTTTAGAACAATATTCGAAGTATATCAAGATAATAGATGGACCATGAAAATATTTTAAAATGCGATTATTTTATCTGGAAATGCTTTATCTGCATTAAATTAGCAAAATGTCTTCTGACTCCTTCGTGTTTCATATAAAAGCTTCGAGTTCCTTATCTCCATGGTTTGTGCTCGTCTATCATTGGAATGTCGAGTTCCGTCAGAAATATTTTTGTTATTTTCACCTGTCTTCATCTGACTGTTGGTCAGGTAGTCTACTGCCCTTCTCTAGCATTATATCAAAGTAGATATGGCGTTTGCTTAATGGCTGCTGGGTAAGTTTTCCAAATCTTCTAATGAAAGCGGTGTTTTCAGTTTGCTTGTTGATTGGGATACGGCTGAGAATTTATGCGTTTTTCAAGGCGGACATCTTTTGAGGATTGATGATAGAGATGAGAACGATTATCTCATAAAATATATCAACGGTTGCACTTAAATAAGAAAGTTCGCATAAATTAACTGATTTTCTTCAGTTTTTGGGGAAAATCATGAATATTTTTACATTGGTTGTAAGTATACGAGTTCAAAATGGCAGTGGACTGATGGTCTTCCAGTTTCTTTTGATAACTTTAATGGTGAGAGTACATACATCAACATATCAAAATAACACGGTTTGAAGTTGACGAGGTAGCGAATGAAAACGCTGTTGGTTGGATATACGCCAACAAAACATCTGAAGATTTAGGGAAATGGTTCGCCGGCAGTGGAAATAAGAACTTTCCTTTTCTCTGTGAAGTTTCTTCAGATCAATCATTTGGTGACCATATATATATTTTTATAGATTCCACCATGCTCTCAAGATCGTTATTTAACTGCTGACATCAACGGTACTTATATTCGCTATGATTCAGCTTTCGAAAAGTAACTTGTGATTTGATATTCCTCGAAATATTAAGTTTTCAGATACTATTTTGGTAACAATTTCATCACTGGGAACTATAGAAAAGCCTATCAAGAATGTGAACGATTATCAGGGTTCTTGCCTGTTATTGAAAATGCAGCTGAAAACGAATCCCTAAGAAACATCATGAACGGTAGACTTTTTCCATAGACGGAATGCTATACAACCTTCCAGAGCTTCTACCGGATGTTGAGCAAGCTGTGATAGGATTGAGTTATGATAGCGATGAATGGAAATGGGTACGAGACAATTCAACTTATACGAATTGGGGTCCAGGGGGTTGACACTCGTTTACAGTATACTCTTAGTGAATCACCTATTCAGAACCAACTATAAAAGATTCATCTGCGGCTGTTGTTCTATCTTTAGATTCTGGAGTTTGGCATACAGTACCCAACTCCAATGAGCTGTTCTTGATATGCTCAGCTTGGAAATCAAGAAAACTATGTTGAAACATATTGATTGAGATAATAAACAGTACAAAATGTAAAGTTAAACCACGTGGCTGAAAAACACTTGACAAAATAAAAGGTCGTTATAGAAAGACTCGCCCAGTGCATTTCATTTTTAAACTAAAGAACGCATTGACCGGTTGTACGTAATGCCTTGCTCAACAGCGCTACCTCTTGCCCCTATATCATTGTGTGAAAACAACACATTTCCACGTTTCTTCATACATTTCTTGAATGTTTTAAAGTGTCTTAAGATTTCACAAGATATCCCACGGTACATTCGAAAAAATATTGATTAACCATTTATTAATTTTTTTATTGTTGTAAAAAATCAATCTGTAAATGAGTAGGAGGCAGACCAACGGTCTTATTTCTCATCCAGTGACCCAGATCAGCTGACAAGTCGTTTTGTCAAAGTTCGTCTTTGATAAGAGACCCACACTATATACAACATTTATAAAAATATGGCCTTCCTTCTCAAAGTTTAAAAGTTTTCTTCAATAATTGTGAAATTCCAGATGCTTTTGCGGATTTTCTTAAGTTTTACCTTGCTGGCCACCGTTAGCTCACGAACCCCAACCAAACTTCGTTCACTTTGGAATTTCGAAAGAATAACAGAATGTGTTCTTCATCACACTGCTCTGGTACATACTTGAATCCCAATTTGAATATTTTCGAGTTAAGGTTTATAACAACTATGGATGTTGGTGCGGAGTTGGAGGATCTAACGAACCAGTAGACGGAATTGACGAGTTTGTTCTACCCCTAAACTTAGTTTTACATAACAACTTTCAGTTGCTGTATGCATCATGACAAGTGTTATGATAGAGCTGTGGATTCTAAAATTTGTTTTGATGTTCCTTGGGAATATGTTGATAACTATAACTGGAAATGTATGAATAGTACTGCCGTTTGTGATAGTAAGTCCTTCGGAAAAGACACGTGCTCACTCGAAATTCAGATGAACAAACTGGATGTGCAGCTGCCCTCTGTGCTTGCGACACGGAAGTTGTTCGCTGTTGGTCCAAGTTTCCGAAACCAACAACTAAACCCTCCTGTAACCGTTCTAGACATAACCCTCGGACTAAATTTTTTGAGCCTCAATAACATCAGAAACATTCAAATGCTAGGAATTATCACTTTTCTTTATGCCACTGTAAATACAATAAAGAGTTTCTTGTCTTAATACGTGAGAAGCATTTGTTCAGCTATTGTTTTAGCTTTTTCGAGTCCGATCAAGAGTTCGACCAACTTGAGAGAAAATTGGAAAGCAGTTCCAGGACCTCGACTTGTGATAACATTTCCAGCAACTACCACTAGTTCCTCGCTATAGTTATAACCTAAGAGAAACATGCTCAATAAATTAATAATTTTATTACCGGCATCCTCCATGAGCTTCCTGAACGCCGGATAGCTTGTCACACTTGCAGCAGGTATTTTGTGAGCAGCAAAAGCTTTCGGAGCAGCACATATGGCAGCGACATACTTTCCAGATTCATGATGGGCTCGCAAGAATGCTCCGACAGATTCATCCTGAAATTTGAAATTAATATATATATATATATATATATGGAGTTAATTGATTTATAAAACCTTCGCTAGATTATCAGCACCAACAGCCCCACCAGGAAGAACGACTACTTCATAGAAAGAGTCCTTCACCTCGTTGAGGTATTTCTCCGGAGTAAGAATTATATCTCTTGCACAAACGATACGGTCAGCTTGGCTATCTATACCCACGATATCGACCTACAATTGCTCGATGAAATAGGTATTTTACACTCGGAGAACATCAACGCCTCCACGACGAAGAACGTCAATGATAATTACAGTCTCCATATCCTCAGCGCCCTCGGCTAGGAGAACACAAGCTTTCTTTGAAGCCATTTTCGATCTCAATGAAGCTACAGCTATTGATCGAAGAAAACATATTATGTCGGTATTAGAGGAGCATGACCTTTCGCGAAATGAAACATGGAAAGCAAAATATTTACATAATAACAAAGAAAACAATTAACAAGTATCTAAACCTATTTACTAATTCATCGCTTCATTTTTAAATCTTATCAGAGCTCTCTTTTTTCGTAGCTTCTTCGGCCACTGCAACAGGTCCATATCGTCCAATCTGTAAACCTATGTCACAAAACGGATTATGAAAGACAGAATACTTTATAAGCCTCTCTAATTTCGTCTCCGTAATGAAGTTCGAACAGAGTACGAGCGGACATTTTCGGAGGTGGCCATCTTTCGTCCTCTAATGTGTATAGATCTGCTAAAGCCTCTGAACCCTTCTCTCTGACCTAAAAGGAAACATTAAGAAACTATAGAATACGAAAAGTAACTTTAGCTTCGTAGGCCAACTGTCTTTTTTCAATTTCAACATCAGTTTTATAAGAAACGTACGGCAACAGTCTGAATAGATGAATGACAAACATTCTCGAGTTTGGTTGGGTTAGCACTTACTTGAATCCTTCCAAATCTGGTACAACAAGCTCTGCTTTCATTTCAGGAACGGAAACAAACTTTCCTGTAGCAGCATCGAGATATCCTTCTTCTTGCACGCCAGTATATCTTGATAAAAAGAGTTAACTAAATATTCAGAGCTATGTACCTATGCAATTCAGCGGGATTTTCCTTATGCCATTTCGGGGATAATTCTGGGAATTCCCTATTAGGTCCTGGCCATCGGTTCTTTTCGTAGACCATAGGTCCAATTTTACGTTGACCATACGCACCTCAACATCATCGTCAAAACAAAGTAAACACAGTTCAAATACCTTTTTTCACAAAAGGCCATGGAGCCCGGAAGTTGATTGGATGAAGAGATCTCACACCTCGTGATGATATATATACAGCCATACTACTCATCTTCGAAGAGAGACAAAATATGATATCGTAAAAAAATGTAGATGGATCGGTATTTCTGGACACAACCCAGGAAAGAAAATGGAACATGAAAATCAATCCTATTATTTATTGGTTCATAATTATGACTAGTACTATATTTACGATAAAACTCGTACATACCTGGAAATGCTATACTTGTCCCGTTAATCGTTTTTCGATTGAAAGAACCAAGAACATTACCGAAATGCATGGAATACTGTTTAGGACAAGGACATGCGGAATATTAACGAAGCTAATTCTTCGATTTATTTTTCTTCATTTTTTTCAGAGTGATCCTTTTGAATCTACGCCCAAGACATGCTTATAATAGGCACCATTCATTTGTTCGAGAATGATGAAGGTGATAACAGTGTGTGGTCCAATACGAAGGTAATATGGAGTGAATCCCTTCCATAAAGCTAAGACACCTTCGTGCTTTATAACCTGTAATAGTAATTCGGCATAAACCCCTGTAGATAAGAAAAAGTAGCTCACTCTGCCCCAAACGTCAAATGCGTTCTTGTATTCCGGCTTTCCATCGATTATTTTCATTGATTGTATCCTAAAAAGAAAAAAGCACCATACCAACAAAGTGAACGATTACCTGGTTTTTGCAATATCAACGGGCATGGATGCAATCGTTGTTGCCAAACCAGAAACCATCGAAGATAGGAAATGGCAGAAGACACCTGATTGATAAATCGAGAGCTAAATACAACAAGGATAACTACCATCTTCGACAAGTTTGTAATCGAGCAAGCCTTGCTTAGTTTGAGAATAAGTTGCTAGCTGGGCCGCGTTTACAACCATTGCTCTCATGACTGTAGGTGTACATCCCTCAAAAAAAGACGTAACAAACTAAAGAAAACAGAACAACACACCCTCCATAAGGAAAGCACACCTTCTTCTTTCACAACGCGCGCAAGAGCATCAAATACATTCTTATAATTTCTTCTTTGGTCAGGAGGAAGACGGCCATCACCTATTCAAATGTTGAACAACTTTGAGGTAATTGACAATAGTCAACCTGTCATTCGAATGAGAGCAAGCTCTGCTGGTGTTCCTACGACAGAACCAATACCACCGGCTAGCATACCTAATGAAGCCTTCATAATGAACGAGGGATGATGATCTTTGCTAAAAGCTCGAACAATGTTATGATCCTAAGTAAAGCACACCTGGAGAATCGTTCGAACAGCCAAGTGTATGTCCCCAAGCGAGTTGTTGTATAAGTTGCTTGACGGAGCAGACCAGCACTCAAACCATTGTAAATTGCGAACAATCCTTCATTGCGAACAATGGTACTAATGCAATGCAAGCTTGACCGATATTCTTTTTTTCCTGAAAAGCAAAACGTACATCTAGCGATCGTATTCTAGATTACCCGAAGTTCCCGCAAGTTGCATTCTGTTCTTTACTAGGTCCAGAGGCTGAACTACAAGTGTTGCTCCCATTCTGCAAACAAGTATAAAGCTACGTTATGGAATATAGGATACCCTGCCAGTCCTCCAAAGGCATACTTGATGTAGTTAGGAATATGCTTCTCCGACATGTTCAACTATTATCCTGAATGAAACTTATGAATAAAAACACATGAAAACTCCGAAAATTGTGAAACAGAAGAAAAATAAGGAAAATGTTAAACACCGTAGATCGGATTAAAAAAGTTATATTCACGAAATTTATTCAAAATAAGTATCATAAGAGCAATTCTATTTTTTTAACTTCCATATTCTTGTGCCGCGAATAAATCGTAGCTCGGCTAGAGAAGCAACTTACTCAATTAATGATGTTTATTTTATTAATGCTGTCAAACAAAGAAACAAGGTGCTTAAAAAAACATGATAGAGTGAAATTTAATCAAAGTTAGTCGACTAACTTATTCGACTCACTCCTAATTTAGTTGATTTAGTTGAGAGCAATTAAGGCTGACTTCTTGCTTTCCATCAAAAAGCGATTGAACGTACATGTATAAATTCCACATGAGATACGCAGAGTCGCGTGGAACAGAAAATGCGTATGCACAGAGTTAAGGAAACAAATAAGAAGATATGGTTGACTGTTAGACGACCGGTGTATGTAATAGTGGAGGAATCGGAGAAATTGTCACATTTCAAAGTCACTATAAGTTGGTTATCTCATCGTATGGGATGGTTCAAAATGTTTCTATTCCCCTTTAAAAGCCTTATCTTCACATCGTTGAATGACAAGTCTCCATTTTTGGCGAGAAGGTCATCGAACAGATATGAAGTGATCCGATTTGAATAGAAATCATAACGTTGATCTTTTGATCATTTTGTCGCTCTTCTGGTAAGGGAATATATTACGAGCTCGGTCGGTAGAATGAACTTTTTATTGAAAGATTTGGAACATAAATGCTATCAGTTGAATGGGAGGAGTAAGCTAATCTAATACTATTAAGAAATCAAAATTTTCTTTTCAGCTGACTTGAGAGTATTTCTTTGCTCCAAACATATTTCCTGAACTTTAATAGATTGTATGTGTTTCATAATTCGTATTTTCCATATAGTATTATATGATCAGATTAGCATAATACTTCTTCATTACGGCAACAAAGTATGCAAGACCTGTCTCCTAGGGTCCAGAAAAACAAAATTTATCATCACTATAAATATAAGCTCTCGAACTCCATAACGCATGTTTGCAAAACTGTGAGTTCTTACCAGAATGGTGGCGACTACTGTAGATGAGGACGAGGGCACGGGTGTTTCTCAAACTTGGTTCAACAAAATTCTCAACACCTTGTTGTGTCGGTAAGTTTGTTCACTTTGCTGCTTCTTAGATTTCTTTTTTCTTCTAGTGGGGATTTAGCTAACGAAAAATTAGAAGCACAACCAGTATCTCTCAGAGAACTAGTGAGTTATACTTTTTTCAATTCTTCCACACTAGATTTTCAGTTTCGCTATGCTGCATTTGAAGATAAAGTTTTTGTGACTCTGGGGTGCATATGTGCCATCCTTGTAGGTGTTCTTCAAAACACTACCTGTGTTGTTTCTGGATATATAGCTAACCTATATTTGAAAGATAGAAATGTAAGCTAATTTGTATTCACGTGGTCTCAACGTGGAATCTCATGCGAGTATGAGAAACTAAGACTCTTTATTTTTTGCTAACTCCAGAAAGGGAGCGGTTGCTAATATATCTCATTACTTTATACGAGTTTTTAGAATGTGGGAAATGATCGTCTATGGACAGCAGCTATGTGGTGGGCAGGAGCATCTGGTATTGTAGGTGTTGTGAATGTTTTTATCACTTACTATCAGGTAGGTCAATCAGGATATTTCAACACAGTTTTATTACTTCTTCAGAATTATTTTTTCTCAACGGCTTGCACAAGAATGACTGAGAGAATCAGATTAGAGTTTATTAAAGCCGTTCTTCTCCAAGATGCATCTTGGTTTGAGCAAAACGATAGCGGATCTATTTCATCGAAGCTGAATGAGTAAAATATCCCAAACATCACTAATTATTATGGCACAATGTTTTAAGCAATATAGAGAGAATTCGTGATGGTATTGGTGACAAAGTTGGATTGATCATTAGGGGAGTAACGCTCTTCATACTGACATGTATTGTATCATTTTCTGTCAATTGGAGAACTACTATAGTAGCTATAGGAATGGGTCCGATCGGAGCCATGACAATGGGTTTGATGGCAAGAGTGAGTAGTATTCTTCATAAAATATATATACTCTTGGTACAGTTCTCGGCAAAACCAATGAAACTTCTTCTGGAGAAGGCTGGTGAAGCTGGTTCCATTGCTGAAGAGTCCATCATGAATGTTAAGACAGTGGCGTCTTGTAATGGACAACAAACAATGATCAAAGTATTTTCAACTAAGTTAAACAAGCAGTTTTGATCGCGCTATTCAGAAATACTCTGAAGTCCTCTCACAAACTGTACATCAAGTTAGAAAACTTAGTTTCATTAATGGCGTATTCGAGGGTTTCATGTATTTTCAACTTTATGCTTTCTTCTGCGGTGCCTTAGTGTAAATTTGGCAGCTATGGCCATAAACTTTTTTTGTATGTTCAGATATGGTATTGTAAGTCATTTCCATGGTTTATCAGATGATCCTGGAAGTGTTCTTGTAGCAGCTAACTCGATCGTTTTGGGTACTTGTAGCGGTAATATAGTCCTAAATTAACTTTTATGGTTTAGGCGGATACTTTCTCTCATTATTAGGACCGCATATGATGGCTATTTTGAAAGCTCGGGTTGCTGCTGCTGTCATTTTTGATATAATTGATATGGTTTGTATTACAAAGAAATGGGTCTAAATGCAGTATCAGAAAAATAATCTCGGAGTTGCTGAAGGTGGAATCCGTCTTGAACATTGTAGCGGTAAAATTAAGTTTGAGGATGTCCGATTCAAGTATCCAACAAGGTTTAGTCCAAAATCAATTTTTCAATACGATTTTTATAAAAAATATCTCTCTTCAGAGACGCGATCATTCTGAACGGGTGTTCTTGGAAAGCTGATGAAGGAGAGACTATTGCATTTGTTGGCCATAGCGGGTGCGGTAAAAGTACAAGCGTACGATCAATCCATTATCACGCTTGGCCATACTGTTAATTTTGCAGATTGGTTTATTGACTCGCCTGTATGATAAATGTGGCGGTATCATAACAGTGGATGGTTATGAAATTGAAAACATAAATTTACACGATTTGCGAAGCGTACGTTTCGATAATGCAACTGTATACCGCGTCATGACCAATCTTGTTCAGGCAATCGGTATAGTTCAGCAAGAACCTTATCTATTTAATGGAACCATTCGGGAAAACATTATTCTTGGAAGAAAAATATCAGAAAATGAAATGGAGGACGCTGCTCGAATCGCAAACGCTCATGACTTCATAATGAAGCTATCTGACGTGATATTATTGTCGCATTTCTCTTAAAAATACTCTACTTCAGGGTTATGATACTGTGATTGGATCTTGCGGAATATCATTATCTGGAGGACAGAAGCAGAGAATTGCTATTGCACGTGCAATAGCTATGAATCCTCGTATTCTTCTTCTAGATGAGGCTACTTCTGCTTTAGACTCAGAATCTGAAAAAGTTGTTCAGGTGAGCAAGATGTTTGAAGTTTTATATCTATAACCCCCCCTGCTTACAGCTAGCTCTGAATAGAGCCTCTCGAGGTAGAACCACTATTATGATTGCTCATAGATTGAGCACATTGAAAAACGTGAGTAGAATTCATGTGATCGACAAAGGAAAGGTTGTTGAATTAGGTTATATCAGTTTTAAGAAAGTTTTTGTTTTATCATACCCTCCAGGATCTCATAAAGAGCTGGTTGACTATGGAGGAATTTATGCAGCCATGGCAAAAGCTCAAGAAATTGGGGTATTTGACAAAAAAGCACCACCCCCAGTAAATGAAAACAGGAAAGGAAGTGTGACGCACAGTTTCACGTGAGAGTTTTAAATATTTGTTTTAATACCTTCAAGTTTTAAGTCCTCTTGGTTTGGACAGATCCTCTCTAAGATCTAGTGGAACGACTATCGTATCACAAGTAAACGAAGATATAATTCAGGATGAGAAACTCAAGAAGGTATATTAACAATAATATTTTTGTTCACGTCTGAAACCGTTTCAAGAAGTTCTCATTTCTCAATATTCCGTTGTTCCGTATTTACTTTGGCCTGGGTGGATCGAAAATGTTTCAACTTTTGGTGCTTGTGTGTTGCATGATTAGAGGATTGGAAATGCCCTCTTATGGATATCTTCAAGTGTTTTTGTTACATACACTGCAAGCAACACCTGTAAATCTTAAATCGTAAATGCGATTTTTTAATAACGATTCAGGAGACATATACCCCTTTAATGTTCCAATCAATTGGCACTTTCATGCTTCTTGGAGTCTTGTGTTGGGTGTTCATTTGTAGTTGTGTAATGGTTGTGAGCTATATTCCAAAATAGTCTTTTCTATTTCAGCATGGTTTTGGTGGTTGGGCTAGTGAGTTACTAGTGAATCGAGCTCGTGTGGAAGTAGTTTCGAACCTTCTCCACGAAGACGCTGAATATTTCGATGATCCGAACCATTCAAATGCCGTTTGTACTACGAAACTAGCTCAGAAAGCTCCTGCAATAGCGGCTGTATGTTTTAATATTTACAACCAATAGGATAATACTTTTCAAGTGCTTGGACTATCGCTTCATGTTATTGGTCAATAATCTAGTGTCTGTTGTCATTTGCTGTCTTCTGACTTTTCTAAATTGCTGGCCTACTGGAATCACTTCGTTAATTTTGCTTACAGTGATGATATCATCCTTGACATTTTTAACATACAAAGTTACTCAATGTCTCTCCAATATAGCTGAAGTTGATAGAAGTGGAGAAGTAACAGCAGAATACATGTTAATAAGTGGAGTCATGATACCTTTTCAGATAGCTCTGGAAATTTTTGAAAACACGAGAACCATCCAATTGATGTCCGTTACAAACCATTTCACTGAAAAGTTCTCCGGATATCAACAGAAGGCTGTACTATTAACTAAGAAAGTACCGATTTTATGGATGAAAGGAAACTATGAAACTGTTTCAGCTCATCCTGTTCAACTCCGCAATTTATTCTCTGACTATGTCTTACGTTTTCTTCTGTGACATGTTCTGTTATGGAGTGGGAGCATATATGATTTATCATGGCTTCTTCGCGTATGATACAGCTTTTATGTTGGTGCATTTCTGTCATACATTCTCAATCTTCTTTATTAAGAGCTGCGGTTGTGGCCAACTACGCCGGATGGTCAATTATCTTTGCAGGTCCTTCATTTAATGATATGATAAAAGCTAATTCAGCAGCCAAAACACTTTTCCATTTTATGTCAGATATTCAATGCAAAAAAGATTTGGATGCAGGAGATAAACCGGTTATTTATTAAATTAAGCTGTTCGGATTCTTTATGCTTAAATTTTCAGTTAATTGAGGGTTCAGTTTCGGCCGAGAAGTTATACTTCGCATACCCAACCAGGCCGAATCAACTGGTAAAAATTGGAAATTCTCTCTAAGTTGAATGTTTTGTATAGGTTGCTCGACACCTCAATTTCAAAGCTCCAAAAGGACACGCTATCGCATTAGTTGGAGCATCTGGTTGTGGAAAGAGTACCATTATTCAGTTATTAGAGCGATTCTATACATCTTATCGAGGAAATATTGTATGTTTGTACCTTTGTACTTTAATATATTCCTATGTAGAAAATTGATGATCACAATATTAGTGATATTTCCATTCGGCACTTACGTAGGAATATTGCTTTGGTTGGCCAAGAACCTATTCTGTTCAAAGGTTTGATTTTGATAACATAATTAACTATCTGTTTCGAAACTGAAGGTACTATAAAAGAAAACATTACTCTGGGTTGTGAAGAAGTAACGATGGAAGAAGTACGCAAAGCTGCTGAAATAGCTAACGCTGTGAAATTCATTGAGACTTTTCCTCAGGTTTGTGAAAACGAATACAGTTTGTTTTGTTCATACAGCCAATTGACTTCTTGCATCAACCGCTCTACGCGTTTCTAAAACCAAGAATGAAATCACGTTTTCAACTATTGCAATAAGTTACACTCGTTTAGGGATATGAAACGGATGTTGGAGAAAAAGGACGAGCTTTATCAGGTGGACAAAAACAAAGGATAGCCATTGCACGAGCTTTAGTTCGATCACCCAAAATTCTACTACTTGACGAAGCCACATCTGCGCTGGATAACGAATCAGAAGAGGTTGGAAAGAAACTTTTCAAAATCATGACTTTCACTCGCTTTCGAAACTCAACTTCAATTGGTACTCAGCTTTGTCTAGGGCTGACAGAGATTTTGAGTTTAACACACAAAAACATATAAAGTTTCCTCAAAGATGCGAGAAAGGCGACAGAAGACGGAAATATCTCCTTCTCAAATGACAATACTAATACATTTCAAACATCCTCGATTCGTTCCAGAAAGTTCAACAAGGTATTAATGATGCAAGTGTTGGTCGCACATCCATTACTATAGCCCACCGCTTGAGTTCGATACAGAAAGCTGACCGGTTTGTGAAACAGTTCATGTGTCAGCGTAATGATCGTTTTTTCTAGGATTTATTACATTGAGAATGGTGGTGTTGTTGAATATGGTACTCATGAAGAGCTCATGGAAGCTGAAGGTAGATATGCTAGACTGGTAGCTGCACAGGCATTAGAATAAAAAATACCGTAAGGAATGTACCATTATTACGTACTTGGCCATTTTTTTCCCGAGCTATAGTACACTTTGTTTATACATGTGCTTTATTACTTAGGAGTCATCGCACTTTTCTTTTGAAGATGTTGTTTTTCTTTTTTTGGATTGATAGTATTACTTTTCTTTCATTTTTTATTTTTATTTTTATATTTTGTAATCAAGCAAAGATGTATTTCTATGTATTCTCACTCTGAACTCCCCCTTGAATTACAATCAATAAATAAGTCTTCTTTCATAGCAAATTCAGTCTTAACTTATTCTCCTGCTTGTTTTCTCAAGCTGAAAATCTACTCAATTGCGTTTACACTAAACAATAAGCAAGTTAAAGTTATAACTTTAATTTTCTTGATTATTATTGGAGCCAAAAGTCCAGTTTCTGAATATATAGAGAACCAGTCTAATGCGCCAAGGGTTGTGTATTGATAACTTGGAAACGCCCACTGTCCTTTTGACTTCTCCGAGAGCTTTCTCTGATATGTTTATTATCTTCAACGTTGCAATCCGGAGAAAGTACTTCCGAATGCTTCTGATTTGAGTAAAAACGTTCTCGAGGATCTTTAATTTCATCGATTTTGTAATTGCATTTTGAGTAAAATGTGAAAGTATGATGCATTAAGTAACTCATTTATAATGAACGTAATCGATGTTTCCAAAACAAACATGTTTATTCCTTCTCACCTTCATCCATACTTACACTATCCTTTTTCTGACCACATGCAAATGCGCCATAGCAGTCAATAATCTGTCACCCCGTCTATCCTCTCTTCTCCCATTCTCTCACATCTCTTTTCCTCAATCTCTCTTCGAACAATTTCCACTACCTTATATATCTTTATATATCCTAACTTTACAATACCCCGCGTTCTCCATCTAATATATTATTAAACAAATTCTGTTTGTTATTGCTTGCACCCGTTGAGTTAAAACATGTACGCATTCACACTGCCCAAAACTAATATTCAAGCCCTGTCAGAGTCTTCCTATCGTTGTGAAAAAAGTGTTTGTCTTTTTGTTTCTTTTCTTTTAATTATTTCATGTCATCATGCTCACAACCATCTTTCATCCGGCTTTTGTATTTCCGGTTTTGCGCCTCCGCCGTTCGTCAGAGACTGGCTACATAGGCACACAAGACTTTCTGAGGCATACACATGGCTCACTTTACCTATTCATTAGCTCCGTTTGCTCATTTCTCTTCTCTATGAATTTTACACGTAAATATAAAAAAAACCATTTGTGAATTTCTGTGTGAGTCATCTGCCACCCTCTTAACCTTACTTGCGCAAAATGACAACGGAAAAGTTGTCGAACATTCCTTGTATGTACTTGAATTTTATGTCTTCATTTTCTTCTTTGCTTCTTTCACTTTCTCAAAACATTGCTTACTCTGAAAACGGTGTTTTCGGATATCTAAAGATGGTCTTACCTAGAGAAAACTGTTTTAACTGACACCATCAGACGTTGGTCTCAAACTTCTTTTATCTTTCTATTCTCTAATAATCTTAGGAGAATATTAATTGATCATTAACACGCAGTTCAATCTCTCATCTTGTTATTGTGATCTACCATTTCAACTACACTCTGAACAAATATTTCGTTCCAAGTATTTAGAAAATTACTTCATAGATCGCTTAATCAAAAAAGGCTTTGCATCATTGAGTTCTATTACATTGAATGGCCTGACGTGCTGGACATTTCAATGACCAGTTAGTCGCAGCTCGTATTGATTTTCCTTCTGCGAGCCTTATCCATTTCATATCTTTGATTCTGCTTATGTCTTTTTTTGATTCTCCCGTAGTGGGTTGTTGATTAATAGCAATTGATTGCTTCTTTTTGTTTCTTGAAATATATGAAACATAAACCGAGATCTATGCAGAAAGCGGTCAATTGTCTTTGACCAACTTTGCATGGAAATTGCCTCATTTAGAAAACGCTCCATGTTTTGTCGAATTTCACTTCTTCTTCTTCATAATTTGCAGGTTGTTTTCTTTTTCATTTCAAACTTTTTTTTTGTCGAACACTCAAATCTTTAGGACGAGTTATTCCTCGTTCGTTAAGCTGATTGTTTTACTCATGAGCTGTTCCTCTCCACAACGCTTGAAACTCTGTTTAGATTTCCCTTTTTGCTCTCATTTTAAGCTCATTTCGTTTTTTGTTTGTCAGGTTTTCGAGAAAAAAAAAGAACTTTTCGAACCAAATTTGGGAGAATCGAGAATAGCGTGAAAACTCTGAACAACTTGAGAAGGAAATCATGTTTTATCAAAAATCAAACAGATTTTGAAAGTCAAACATTTCTTGAATACACGATCTCCTCCTATAGATTCATGATGATGCATATGGCCTTAGTTGAGAAGTGTTTGAAGTTTGAAAATATGATCAAAACAGTCATCAAAATATGTACGAAAAAGATTTTCACCAAATTAAGCTGTTTGAAATTAAAAAATTTTGAATGCAAAGGTATTATTATAGCAATCTCCCATTGCTTTCTACTCCAATTCATAATTGCCAACAGGAGTAATGTCTGAAAACTGGTTGTTTGTTCAGTACTAACCATCTACGATTCCTCTTCTGTATCGTCTTTTTCCATTCTCCTCTTAGTCCTCTCAATATTTTTAATACGAATATGATCTCTTTTTCTGTTTTCCATGGTACATATGACATTATCACAAGTAAATGAAAAATTTTTCCTCCACACTATTATGATTATGCAATAGCTTTCTCTGTCTTGTTCATCATCAACAAATTTCAGCCAAAAATGGCTGGCGAAGATTGTGTTGGTGCTGATTATTTCCAACAATGTAAATATATTCATGAAGTTGAACTTGTAAATATGAAGCTGCAAATGAAAATTCTCGAAACACATTTAGAGGTAAACTTCATCACAGTTTAAAAATACGTTCAGCATTTAGACGAAAGACAGACTCCTTCGCAATTTGGAAGATATCATTGATGAACAAGAAACGAGGATTCACAATATGGAAGAATTCATACAGGGTCAGTCCATGTTTTGCTCTTGCTTGCATTCCGTATCAGTTTGAAGCAACTGTCTTTGCATGATCTTTGTATTACCTACTCTTTCGTTTTTCATTAACATTGCCTGTTATTGAGTTTGTGGTTTTTCGTTTCATGCATGGAATATATAGTGAACGACTTCAAAAACACAAGATCAAAGTTGTGTTGAAAGCTTTCAGTTCAACTTTCAGGAGGACAGATACAGGAAATGAACAAAGAAGAAGTGGATGTTCGTTTCACTCCGTTTTCTTCTTCGATTTGTTCTATGAATCAATTTTTTCTTAACAATAATTCATTATCTGAAATGAAACATTTGGTATATCAATAACATCGGGATCCGCTTCTCCGACCTGCTTCTCTTTTCGTGATTGTGTTTAGTGTTGGTCTTGTGTTTTCAGGTCGTTCTGATAACTATGTGAAACGTAGTCAAATTCTCAGAGGAATTTCAGTTCTTTCACTTGATTTTGGTGCCTTGAGTGAAGAGAACTTCCGACTCAAAACTGCTCTGGCAGCTCACCAGAAAAAAGAACGATTAGAACAACTCGTTGAAACGGACGAAGATTATGAAAGCGACATCACGACTGATGATAAAAAACTTAGGTGAATTCATTTTATTTCCTAATCCATTAAATATGGCCATCCTTGAAAACATTTTTGATAGTAATTAGCATATATTAATCTGACTTCTCACGTGAACACTCACGTATGCCGTCCTTCTCACTGTTTGCAGCAGCATAAAATGGTTGCACTTGTTCTTCAGCCTAGATAGTCTCAAAAAGCGATTTGTACAACTTCATTTTTACAGTCCAACTCCTCCATCTGAACTTGAAGAGAGTATACAGAAGAAGCCATACAATGAGATGGTTCAATCAATGATGACGGAGGTTCAGACTAAAAAACTTCAACGACTAGCGGAAGAATTGAAACAGGAAAAGGTGTGGTATTTGTCTATTGTATACATGACAACAATAACTCACTGTTATAGAATGAGTTGAAACAAGTTGCCCTTGATACAAAAGATGCTTTTTCTGTTTGCATGAAAGAAGTATGTGATAATAGATGATAACATTGAGATGAACATCGTTCAATTTAGTTAACGTTGCTGTTGGAATCAAAAACGACCGATTTCTTCCGCGTACTTATCGAACGATATCGAGCTGAAATGGAAAAACGGAAACAATTACATAACCAATTAGTCGAAATCAATGGTTTAACAGCTCACTCGAAGTATCATTTCGTATACTCCTTTTAGGCAATATAAGAGTTTTTTACCGTATTCGACCTGTGAGTGAATGCATCAAGAAAGCAATTGAAATTGATGATCTGGATAACGGAATTGTTTATTTCACTCAAACTAACGGAAAACAATTAAAGAAAAGTGCTGATCGGGTTATTCCCATGACATACACTCAGGAACAGGTTCGAATGTTTAAATGGTTTTTTATAAATTTATTTTGTAGATATTTTCTGAAGTTTCACCTATTATTACCAGTTGCATTGATGGATATAATGTCTGTATTTTCGCCTATGGTCATACTGGAAGTGGCAAAACTTATACTATGGAGGTTTTCTTCAGATTTATGAAATTCAAGTACTCTTACTTTTCCAGGGACCTTCCGGAAACCCAGGCATCAATCAACGAGCTATAATGCAATTGTTCTCAACTGCTCATAACTCTCAGGGAGATATAGAATATACTATATCCGTTTCTTTATTAGAAATTTACAATGATAAAATACGGTGAGTAAGACTTAGACAGCTATAGAACAACTCACTTGCAGTGATCTTTTAAATACAAACAACACTAATTTGCAATTGCGACTCAGCGAAGACGGGAAACTATCTATCCCTGGATTAACATCTGTAGTTGTCGAGTCCTTCGAGCACGTTGGCCAAGTGCTTAATGATGGCAAAAAAAATAAAGTATGAAGTTTTTTAATTCCATTCTTTATTTTCACTTCAGGCTGTATCAGCAACAGGTGCAAATGAAGAATCTAGTCGTTCCCATGTCATTGTTCGAGTAGTAGTGCAGGGGAGAAATCGCATTACAAATTTGACAACTATTGGTAAGCTCACATACCGAATTCGTGTCTTACTCCTGCCACAGGACGGTTGAATTTGGTAGACTTGGCTGGATCGGAAAGGGTTTCCCAAACTAACGCTACCGGACAACTACTGAAGGAGGCCATGGCTATAAACAAGTAAAAACTCAGCATCTTTCCTAATTAGCTCGAATTTTTTAGATCGCTCTCCGAATTAGGTAACTGCGTGCTAGCTTTACGGCAAAACTTGAAGCATATTCCGTTCAGGAATTGCCAACTAACTAGATTATTAGAAGACAGTCTTAGTAAGTTTCAACTCATTTCAGAAGTAACAAGAACTTTTTTTCAGCGGGTGATAGCAAGACTCTGGTGTTAATTCACTTATCTCCTGATTCAGTAAATGAAGCTGAAACAATAAGTAGTATGAACTTCGCGGAGAAAATTGGGAACATTCAGACAAAGTTTGCTACGCTCTCATATGTTCTAATTAATTGTGTTCTTAGATACGGGAGCTTGAAGAGAGATTCAATAATTCGTCGAAGTGCAACACAAAGGTGAATCCTCGTCCTACATGTAAATATCTATATTCACTAATTTATAGAAAAACGATAAGCTCAGACACGTTCACGCCACCCAGCAAGAAACCATGAAGATATTTCAGGGTTGTACAGAACTTTAAATATTTTTGCTCAGTTTTTGTATTATTCATAAATTATTATTCTTTGATTCATCGAGATGGTATTCCGTTTCTGTCAAGCAACCTCTTTGATAAAACCAATGAAGAATTAGTTGACTGGGAAATACAATCTCTCTGAGCTATCATGCGTTGAGCATAGAACTTATTTAGTGTTATTAGTTAGGATTAGTGTGTCGACCTTAAATTCACTTAGTGAACAGTATTAGTACAACCTGAAAAAAGTGAAACTAAAGGAAAAATTACCCCAGATATTGACCGTTTCATTTAATGTCACTCTGAGTTATGACGCCTCACACCCGTGAAGAATTTCAAGAAGTATGAACTGTCTTGATGGCGGGAACACAGCAATACCATTTTATTAATCCTTATGTCATCATCCTCAGCCCTCTTCTATCTGTTTTGTGCTCATAGAGTTCTTCTTTTGATATTTCTAGTTATACATTGGACTCAGAATATGATATTCGGTTTCCGATTCCATTTCGGTAGAGGTGAGCGTAAAGCTTATTCACTGAAGTAAGGTTTCATTTAGGCTTTGTTCTTCGCCGGATAACCTGGGACATTTGCATTAAAATTCTTGATGTTTTCGGATGCTGTGGAGGTAGAAGAAGTAAACGACCAACAACTACGCAAACAACCATTGTATGTTTCTCTCATGAATTTGATGGCCCTGGCAGTGTGTTTTTGATGTGAGCTTCACTTTGCAGATTACAGAGACGACGGAATCGGCCTTACCGACAGAGAACGTCAGGTTCAAGACGACAAGTAAACAATGGGTTCGACATCCGTACCAATATCAATCTATCTTTAACATCTTGAACGAACGAAGAAATGTGATTCGAGAAGCGACCACAGATTACATAACTAAACAGTATTCATTCAATTGTCATAACGTTCGCAAATTCATTTGATACTCAGTGATGATATGAAAAACTTTATTTATTTAGTTAGAAATGTACAAAAATTTGGTTTTAAACCCGCATATAAATCTGTTTGGATACAAAATCTGTTTGTTCTACAAAAAAAACGTTACTGAACGTTGATATACTCAATGAGATGACACAGACTTTGTGGATTATGATCAACAAGTAATCTCATAAGGACGTTACTATCTTTCTTCGTGAATTTTTCATAACGAATTAGATGTTTTGAATAAAAATACGTTAAGTTTGAAAACTTATAGTTTTGAAGGACCAATCAACTTCATGCCTATTAACCCACTTTCATCTTGACTTCGATCAATTAAATGTAAATCCAGCATCTTCGTACTAACTAAAGGATCCCATGATGATTCAGCCCAACCTGCTGAATTTCCTATAAGTACCTTCTTTTTCCAACGCCCTCAATCTCATAATACCTCTTCCAAAGACGGCGAAAACTATAGCACAAACTAAAAGAATTGCAGATGTGACTAAGAAGATACGAAGCCATTCTTTCAGAGCACTGTAAGCATATGGTTGATGATGAACAATAAAAGAACTGACTTTTCGAGAACTAGAGATCCTACAATACACGGCATCAAGAGAAACGCCAAACCGAAACTAACGCCATAGAAAGTTATAATATATTTTGAATAAGCCCTTAAGTGAAACAGTGTTCATGAGCGTATGAAAGCTTAGCAGACTAACCTTCCTACTAATATAGTAGATCGGAGGAACCCTGAAGCAGTAAATCCTAAGGGAGCCAATGAAAGAAACAATGATATTCGGGCACTGTGATGGTTAGATGATTGTTGTATCTATTGCAAGTAAACTCACAAGCCCGTTTTATCGGCATAGAACAAAATAGGCAGAGCTAAAACGAAAAGCCCTGTAAGGATGAAGGACATAGTATTGAAGATTCGAATCAAAATAGTTCGTGATGTCATGGAGATCTTGTTCAAGAAACCGCTGATTATAAAGACGATGGGCTGAGAAAAAAGTTTAGTAAAGTCTGAAAAAAATGAACTTACGATTCCCAAATACGGCAGAATACCATATGTGCCCATGTAGTCAACCATAAAAACTTGTTGGCAAGATAGGAAACTTGGGATGTATTGGATGAAGAGCGAAAGAACTAGGAAAAGCCCGAAAGCGGAAACCCAAATAGAGTAAGCTGAGACTGAACGAAGTAAGGTGCAACATGGTGTATCCATAACCCGATTCTTCCTCATATCCTGTAATGTTAGGTTATTCTCAAATTCATGAGAAAAGTTCGTTACTTTCACTTTTCCTGCTACGATTTTATTGAGCTCCAGTCCATTGACCCATGGATGGTCTTGAGGATAATCTCGGTAAAATATAAGGAAGCTAAAATAATTGATATCATGTTAGACAAGATAGTAACTCACATTATAGCAAGCAAGAACGTTGGAACAGAATGGAGTATATAAATAAAAATCAGATCGACTTCGTTTGAATGAAGAAGCATGGTCAACGGCCATGAGAGTGCAGGTCCGATCTGAATTATTTTCCCGTTTAACTTAACAAAAACCAAATCTCTTACAGTAATGAACAAGAATGTGGAAGTGAGGAAAAACAGTTGTTCTTTCAAAGTCCCCCAGTTGGCAATCATATGACCGACCATAGGAAACACCATTGAGAAGCAAAAACCGAGTATGAAACGCGAGATGGCGATTGCTAATGAATCTGTATAAATCAATCCAAGTGAAGTACACTAGTTGCGTCAACTTACTCATTGATACAGTGAAGGGAGAGATAACCATGCATACAGCTGAAAGACCCAGTGCAGCAGCAAAGGGCACTCGAACTCCAATGGCTCGAATCATCAACACGGACGGAAAAATGCCTATCAGAATTCCAACTCCAGGAGCAGCATATATCATTGTCCTAACGAGGTACTTAGTCATATTCAATTTAGCGATAGAAACAGGCTCAACATTAGAACTACAAAAAATGTTAACACAATGCAGACAAGACAAATCACGAACTCTTTTCCGTTGGTTTTACTACCATAGTCATCTTCTTTTTGTGGTTTTCTTGTCTCATCTTTATCTGGATGTTCATACTTTTCGATAGCTTTTCGAACTTCTATAATTATAAAAAAATTAAAAGAGAATCCATGATAGGCATCTACCCTCTAAAACAACATCAGCCGTAGTTGTAGGAACGATTGTGGTTGTGTGGATTTCAGTAGTAGTTTTGGAAGAAGCAGTTGTTGCTCTAATACGTCTTGTGATAGGATGCTTAGTGCTTTCCAAGAATGGTGCATCCGTGGGAGAATTTGTAAAGAATACAAGACGTTTAGTGGTTGGAAGCTCGGTTGTTGTTGTTGTTGTAGTAGTTCGACGTGTAGAAGGTCTTTTCGTTTTCGGAAGCAATGGATGTCCATCTAGAAAAATAATCCTTTTTGATAGACAGGAGCACGAGATAGAGCAACTAACCTTTCCACTTATCAAAAACAGTTTCATTTATGTCTCTTCTTCGGCGATCTAGAAGTGAAGTGTTTTCAAGTCGAGTTTAAAGTTCAACTTACTGTGCCAAATAGAATACTCATGTAGACTAGTGAGAGAAGCTACAGGCTTCCAATCATCTTGTAAATCTTTATCAAGAATAGCAGTGAAATTAAATAGAACCAAATTGGCAAACAAGGATGATATACTGAATATTGTGAGTAACAGGATTAAGTGACGAACATTATTTACAAAACAACAACAACATGGAGGAGTTCTTGCCATTCCTGAAAATAGAAAATCATCATTGAATACTTGCAAGCCTTTAGCCATTTGAGAGATATATGAGAGCGAGGAAAGAGATGGTAATTGGAAAAAATGAACTTGATACTCCACACGCGAAATACATTGAAGTACACATACACATACCGGTAGGTTTTCGAGAATTCAAAAAAGAGAAGAACATTGAGTTGACAGATGTCAACATATATCAAATTGGCCATAATTATCGTTAACAAAGCCAATAGTAGACTCATAAATGGCGACAAAAAATCTAATTTATTAGAATCAATAGCAAGCCATTTTTGAAAAGAGCTGTTCGAAATACTAAAATAAAGCACAGAAACTATGGAGGTGGGTCTGTGATTCATCCTCTCGCATCTTTTATATTACAAACAGATTACTGATAAAAAATGAGGAGTCTATGAAGAAGAAAATTCTTTACTGAAAAGATGTATTTCATATGCGAACGTATGAGCGTGTTACCGCAAGGAGAAATAGACAAAAGAATTTCAAATGCTCACATTTTCACTCAGATGGCAAAGACTCTTCTTCGCTTCGAAGAAGAGTGTAAACGGTCTGGAGGTCACAAAGATTCTAACTACTAGTGAGAAGAGCAACAATCGGACACGCGTACATAAACAGAGAACTCTATCTTCCAAATTGAAATGTTCAGCTTTTGTTCTAAACCATGAAAGTAAAACTCCGAAAGTGAAAATATTTTTTGTTTTTTGTTTCTTCACAGAATTGAGGCCATGGGATGGCAATAGAGTCTTTTCCCGTTTCAACTTTTTAAGAAACTTTTTCGAAATGCATTAGCATTTACGTGACTAGCACATCAGCAGTTCACGTGAAAAAAGTCACGCAATTCACTTTAATCACGTCGAGCTCACAGAACGGTTGATATATGAGGAAGAAACCAACGAGAGGTTAATCTCGTTTGTTTTAAATTTTGATCGGATAATTTGGTTGAATTAAGGAAACGAATAAAGAGAAAAAATAGTGTTTAAAGAAAGTGAGCGTTACTGCATGGCGTAATTCGGCATGTATTCATACAACTGAAGCTAATTGATGTTTCGTATGTGTTACATGAATTTGAGGAAAGCAGAGACGATACAACATATGTTAACTAAAAAAAACAAGAGAGAAGCAAAAGCAACACTCATTAAGTTAACTGCAATCCAACCGATCGGAGTAGTGAAGTGAGTCGGTTGAGTTAACGATACGCGTTGAAGTATATGCTAAAATGGGATGAATCAATAATATTGGTGGAGGAAAATATGAATCATAAACTTTTATACAGATAATATTGATTATATTCAAACATTTAAAGTAGGGAAAACGATAAAAAACAAATTTAAATGTCGAACTAGCCTTAGCTTATCTCTATATTTGTACAACGTAATGAGTAATAGCTCATCGATGCTAAAATGAAATGAAACAAGGGGTAGAACAGGGGAATTAAAATGAAGATTAAAGATTGGAAGTGAAATTATGAAGAAAACTATAGTTTAGAAGAAAAAAAGTCCTCAGACCTGTGAAACTGTATAGCTGTTCGTACAATCTGACCTAGAACTCTCAGTTAAAGAGGCTGGAGATCGTAAAACTTTAGAAATACAGCTAGAAAAGAAAAATTGAAATAAACAAAAGAAGTAGACAGGAATTAAAGGAGGTAGGGAGCGTTCTGCTATAGTTTGCTTGGGTCGTTGAACTGTCCAACCAAATGAGTAGACATCAGAGAAACAGACAGTAATGGATGTTGACTGTCAGAGAATCAGAGGAAAGGAAATGAAAGGTATACCGTCCATCAAATATTATTCTATTTTAAGTAAATAATGAATTACCATAGGAGTCTTTTTTTGGATTATTTAGATTAAGATAGAAATATAAGAAGTTTAAGAGAGTGAGAAAGTGACAGAATGAGAATGATATAGAAAAGGGGTGGAGAGTCTAAAGTCGATCAGTCAGAGAAGTTTTCTTTCAAAACATCTTAGAGCCAGGAAAATGTGAAAATGATTCCGATTCCTAATAGGAAAAACGAAACACTCATATAATTAATTACAAACAGTTATAGTTGACTGATTATCATCCTTATTAGGGCAAAAAAGGTTTATGGACTCGTTATAGTATGACCTACATGATTATGTAAAAGATCAAAACAGACTATTTTTGCCTTTATTTTGAAAACTTTATAACTTTAAATGTTCCAAGGAAGGTTCGATTTCCACTGTTAAGGTTCTTATCAATCATTCTCATATTTTTTTTTCAGAAATGGACTCGCCATTGACAAGGATGAAGAACAAAATTATAAAAATGAAGAGAGCTAAAAAGAACTATGTGCAAGTATACATGCAGGTATAACTTATACTCTAAGAACATTTGATGCCATTTCATTGTTTCAGTTGGTACAAAGTCCTTTTCGAAAAACTTTGAAACATTCTCGATCTCGTAAAAGCTTACGAGAGGCTTTTATTAACAGATCAAAAGCTTTCAATCATCCATTGGTCACACAAATGGTAAGAGAAGCTAAAGCTATGTCAACACTCAAAAATCAAGGTAAGCATCTGTTTCCTTTTATAGAATTGTATAGTATATGATGAAAATTTCAGTACTGGAGCCAAAGATAAGCGACTCAATGCAAGATGTAGTTTTTCAAACTTTTGGTAGGACTCGCTCGCAGACTAGTAGACACGCATTACTTCCTGGTTTAAAATATAGTGGTCGAGAAGCTGTTTCTGTACAAGAGGCTATTTTTGAGTATGTTATTGAAATAGTTTCAGTACAATCATATATCTGTTTGCTTCCATTTGAATTAGTTACGCTTCGAGACATATTGAAGATGTTCCAGATATAACAACCTAACAGCTGACTGTGCCGAAGATGTCTCCGATTATATAAGTTTATGTAAACGAGGGCAAAAGATTGAGAATTTATCCAGAAAATTAAAACACCTCCCATCTGGAATTCCAGAATACCGTACGGGCTTTGAATTCAAGCCAACTCCCCCTCCGAGTAAAACACCAGATATTAACTTTCTACAGGAGAAAGTGGATGAGGAATGGCATTACTATTTAGCGGAACAGTTGACTTAATCTTAGAAGCTCTTTATTATTTATATTATTTTTAATTGTGGATTAGAAGATATAGAATATAGTGTTGTACATATAGATGAAAACAGCTGCAGAGAAATAAGTTTATAAAACATTACATGAGTTGATTGATTTTGTTTGTATGAAAACTCACGCCACATGAACACTGCAACTCTTCGTCTCAATGAGTGTCCATGAGATTGACATTGTGAGGGACGACATACAAAAGTACAAGCTTCTTGAGTTTTCAGATCTTTTCTAGAGCTCTCCGAATTTAAGACTTACAGAAATGAAAGATGCTCAAACAAACTCGAATTGGTTCTGTGTCCGGAGCTCACAATCATCAAGTAGCGCTCTCGATTCGTGATTCAGGATGTTGATAGTAACTTTTCACAACAATAATAAGAGTAACTTTCATTTCATGGGTTAGTTGCTTATTGCACTCCATGTAGCACTGTATACGCTATGTTAGTAATGGGTTGGAAAATAGTTTGTAGCAAGTTCATTGTGATTCTTTTACTATGTGACGCAACTAACTGTTTCTGGAAATATTCCATTAAAACAAGGGACACTATATGTAAGAACACAACCACTCTTCGCATCTTCAAACGTAGAAATGAAAATGTTTCATCACCAGTCTCCACTCTTCCATGAAATATATCATTGTACCCCAGGATTACAGTGGGTTATATCCATACAATCTATACTATAGTTGGTTCCAAAGAAGTTAAATGAAAATAGAAGATTTGAAGCTATTTAGTATCGCTCGTTTTTTAATGCTTTACTATAGCTGGTGTAAGTTGAAACACGAATTCAGGATTTTCCAGCTAACTTGTTAATCATTTACCTGTTGCCGACAATTCTCGTTGCGCAATGTGGAAAAATGTAAGCAAAAACGGAAAACTGGATGATCATTTCACTTTTATTTATTTGGTTGTGTGTTGGACTGTTCTTTTTTGTCAAAAATATTCATCTCGAACGTGATTTTACAATAAATAACCTCATTTATTATAAAATATTTCCTTTCATGTTCGAAACCTCTTGAATTCGTTTGCCGAACTATCTACGTTTCCCATCATTTTTATAGACTTACATCAACTTTATGATTGAGAAAACCAAAGAAATGATGCAAATCCTACTTCTTGTGCTCGTCAGGTTTGTACACAACGATATTCCTTTTTGAAAATGTTCTTTTGAAGCGTTGTCAACGGACAATTCCTAGGAAGCTCACTTTTCAGCGCTTTAAATAATTATAATGATAATGATATGTGTCGATATATTTCCTGTCCTTTTGGACAATACTGTTGGAATGGTAACTGTATAAGTAGTGCAGCATCATTAGGAAATATCAGGTTTTCATTACAATAAATTTACTGTTTTATGTTCTCTTCAGAGGTACCGGTGGGGTCGGTGGTCTTGGGGCTCTTGGAGGTCTTGGAGGCGTTGGAGGATTAGGCGCCTTAACTTCAGCTGCATCCATTTATAACTACGGAACTGCTAATAGAGGTTAGACGTTTTCTTTTAATCATTATAAGAGTAAGAAAACGATTTCGTTTGTATCTTCACACATCCGGTTATTAACGCTCGAGTAACCGAATGATTTGAGGACAATCAGTAGGCAGAGACTGACACTCTCGATAAAACCAGAATTTCACCGAAAAAAAATGTTTGTTTCATATTATTATTCAGGCTTGATGGGAAGTTCCTATGGATATGGGAGTGGTGTATCTCCTTATGGGTTGGGAGCTGGAATGGGAATGGGCCAGTTGAACGGTGAGACTTTTCTTTTTTTTGGATATCCCAAATCGAAAGATAATGATAATGAAAGATGGAAAAGAAGAATAATGGCTTCTCAGACGTTTCTCGATCAAACCAACAACATTCAGGCCTTCAAAACTGTAACTTGATGCAACAATGCTTGAATGGTCAGATTTGTGTGAACGGCTACTGCAGTCGAAGCAATGTAGCTTATAGCGGAAGTCAGATCATGCCTACCCAACAGAGTACTTATATATTACAGTTTAAAATAATACTTCTGTGATCATCAGGTTGCGCTACCGGGGCAGTTTGTCCTGTAGGCCAGTACTGCATTGGAGGAGTGTGTATCCCGAATGCTATGTCAACTACTTTTGGTAAATTATCGGATTATTTGCTTGGAAAATCTCAAAACAACTTTAGCTTGTCAAAATGGAATTTCCTGTCCGATGGGAATGATCTGCCAACTGGGCCGCTGTCTTCACAACGGCTTGCCGATGTTGGGCCGTAAGAAATGATTTTTCACATAAATGGTTTAATAAACTGTTATTTAACGAATTCAATGTGAGTGTGAGCATGACTTTAAATCTATTTGATGAAATGAATCATGATAATATCATTCTCTCAGTTCTGTTTTATAATTGAGGAGAATCAAACAATTATATTTTATTCAAGAAATAAATAAAATTTATGGTTAATTCTCGGCCAAAGTTGAAATGGGCTGTCTTTTGAGCTCAAACTGATCGATGATCTCATCTGTTTTTTGCCATAGGGCTTCCTGTAAGTTCGTTCTTCGGGATCATTTTGAAAAACACTTTACCTGAAGAGCTTCATCGTGGGCGACTTCTTTATCTAAATTCTTCTCATCATCCCAACATCCTTCCCAGTACTTTCCACTTATCTGATTACAAAAAAGTTGGAGTAGCAAACTACAAAGTCTTCAAACTTGAGCAACTTCGGGTGAAGCCGCGCAATAAACCGTGGTGGATGCTCCTTGGCTCAGATTTTTCACAAAAGGTTTCATCATAAAGTTGAAAGCTTTTCCAACAACTCCAAATCCTCGATTTATGTCTGAGAGACCGAATATAGTGGAAAGAGATGTTAATGCCCACCAGTTCCAATCATTGTGCCCGGATGAAGAACATAAACGGAAATGCCATTTTTATTTTCATCTCGATGAAGTTTCATGGCCGTTAAGATATTACATAGCTTGGAATAAGAATATAACCTATATAATCATATACTGAGCTTTGTGAACTTTTCATTAAAAACCTGTATAAGTTTTCAGTCGCATCTTTAGGCATGATCTTTGCAACCTTCTCGTTAGTTGACATGGTTGGTTTCATCTAAAACGATAACTAGTCTTCAAGCATTTAAAGATTCATGGTGGGGGTGTATGAATGTTTTGGAAGTGTGAAAATACGGCTAAGTTTTCGAGAAAAACTGAATTTTATGAATATTTGGCAGACGACTGACCCCGGCGTGTGTGTGTGATAAAGAGGATACTATGACAATTCTGGAATTTTCAGTCTGTCGAATAACCGGAAGAAGCTCTCGAATGAGATACTGATGAGCCACATGATTGATTCCGAAACAGGACTCTAATCCATCGATTGTTGTTTTTTGAACTGGTCCGAACACACCAGCATTCAGTATAAGGACATGTAGTGGCCTGAAATATACTTTGCCCTGGAGTCATAAACATTTAAATAACCAATGCTTCGATTTGAATTCTTTTGCAGCTGCCTGAACAGATTGCAAGGAACTTAAGTCACACATGATCAAATCAATTTTAGCGTCACTCTACAAATTGGAAAGATGAACTATTTGATAATAATTTTGGCGAAAAACCTTTTTCTCTAATATTTCATTTTTCAGCTTCTCACTCAAAATTAAATTTCTGTTTGCCATAACGACGTGAGCTCCTCTCACGGCCAACGCTTTGGCAGTTTCAATGCCGATTCCAGAACTTGTTCCGGTAATAAGAATTGTTCTTCCAGCCAAATCAACATCAGCTATTACCTGTGCTTAAGATAATTCAAAGAATGTTCAAGAAAAGACATGCCTCATCCGCGTAGCTCCTGGAGCCATAAAGGCGTTTCCGTTGAGAGGGTACTGGTGATTGCGGAGCATTTGCCGAAGATTCCAAATCAGACATTGATGCCAATTGAAAAGAAGGTCGTCGTGAGCTTCCTCGAGATGATCCTTAAAAATCCAAAGAAAATAAAATGTGAGATGAATTTAGGGTGTATATGAAACAAAGAAAATAGAGATTGGGGTTTCCTTACCAAAAAAGTCAGAAATGGAATCTCCAATGTATACAGGAGAAGTCATGATTGGAGTAAAATAAGGTTGTAGAAAAGAATTAAAACGAACAGCAAGAAAGAATGTTTTGTTCGAGGAAATGACTGATGAAATGTCATTCTCAGACAGTTAACAAAGAAATATTGAGTTGAAAAATAAAAAAAAACATCAAGGGAAAGTGAAACGAGGCACTGAAAATGGGAAAGTCTTCCAGATAGCAACTTTACACCTCTGTGAAACAAAAAAAAAGAAGGTGAAAAGCGAAAAACGGGGGAAATCTGATGAGATTCAATAGAGGAAAAGGTGAGAACAAGAGTTTCAACCATTTTTTCCATATTTGGCCTCGTGTGAGGTTATTGTTGTCGAAACGGCATTGGTGGATGACATTAATAGTCTGAAGGTCAGACCCAAAAGTAAATGAGAGGAACAAAAATAATGTTATTTGATATAATTAACCATAAATTAGCGAAATATATATTTTAACCAAATGAATAGAGACAAGAGTGAAATCATGATAATTGATTGGCAGAGGTAGGCAGCAAAAATCAATTTTTATCATCCTCAAACCAATTTTTGTTAAGAATTCCTTGAGAATAAACAGAAAGCGTAAAACACGCAGTGAAGAAGTTCCGAATGCTCAAAGTTGTGTCAAAAATAAAATAAACCAAATTCATAAAGTAAACAGAGAGCAGACAAGTCACTGCCGTTTTCTCGAGCAAATACCTGGAGGAACAATTGTAATAAAGGAATGGACAAGTATAACATAGTTTACACGCTAGTTTCATGTAATTTCATTAAAGATAAACAAAAAAAATTTATGAGAAAGCATACAGCTTCATGCTTGAAAGGAACAATGCTTTTCAAGAAATCACATGTTTGCGAACAAACGTGGAAAGCAACCAATCTCTGTTGTCTTAATAATCAGAATGAGCAATATACGATCTTGGACATAACTCATACGATTGGCACGTGAACAACACGTGGCCATCTAGACTTTTCTTAGATGTATTGATCATGTTTTGAATGTCCACTATTACAGGATAGCTGACTCGTAATGTTGTTGCAAACCTTTTCTCTATTTCTCTCAAATTGAAACCTTTTGGTCATAATATTCCAATTAATCTGTTATATAGCAGTTTATGTGTTTCGTATCTATGAAAGCTTTTATCAATATGAGGAAAAGGATGAATTTTTAATTAGATGAAAGCAAACTGTACATTGGACTCAATAATATCAAAGCTTTACCACATATTAACAGCTTAGAAGTGATGCGAAGAATGTTTTTGAGAAACATTAGATCTCTCTCTCTCTTTCCATATACTTTCGTTCGACACACGTGGAATCAACATTTCATGAAATCTTCACGGTTTCCTAATTTTGAGAATGAAAAATAAAATCGTTTCTGTCGATGCATAAGTATGAAATATTGTGTAAAGGACATCTGAACCTTCTGTAATATATGAATAAGTTACTAGCTTTAAGTACGTTTCCTGGTATACTCCAGCTGAGGAAATTCGTTTGCTGTTCTTACAATATTTGGAGTTAAAAATGTTATTTGAAGGTGAAACAACAGAAAACATATAGACTCAAAGCTCTCTTTCTCTCTCTCTCTCTCTTTTTCTTTTTTCTCTCTTTCTTTCTCTCTTGTTCTCTGTACTCATCCACTTTTCTCTCTTTTCCTTCTTACCGACATCCTTTTTTTGTTTTCTTCCAATATTTTTTTTTGTGCGTAAATCTATCATAACTCAATGACATGTTCAAAGACTATAGGCCAGTTTGAGCTTTTCAAACCTACTTTCTCGTTTAGTAATGAAAGCAAAACTGCTGGTAGTTACCTCTTTCTGCAATACAAAACTGTATTGTTCTCTCTCTCTCTCTCTTTTTGAATTACACATGAGAATCTTCACAATAACTCATACTTACCAATCGAAGAAAAAGCACAAAATTTATTTTCCCACCTGAACATGTAATGAGAGTCTGTGACTGTGCAAATGAAATCAGATCAGAATGGTTTTTAGATAGAATTTCTCCGACGGTTTTGTGAATTTGCAAAAACCGAGGCTATTGAATGACTAATTTGGTTGCCATGGATATGAAATTCTCATCCACTCGAACTACTAGATTTTCCCCTTTTATTCAATTATTGAACGAAATATTTCTAATCCCATTGACATCTTCTTAGTTTCTCTCTCTCATTCAACTCCATTTACTGCCCCAAATTCATCTAAGGTAAACATTCTACTTGATTTTTACTTTTTTTGGAAGAAATTTCTTATTCCGACGATACTTTTTTGCTTTTTCTTTTCTTTTTCCTTTTCTTACTCTCTATTTCTCTTTCTCTCTTTCTGGGCGTTTTCTCCTTCAGCTACCATTTATTCCACCCTCAGTAGTCTCTTTTTTTCTCAGAAAAATCGTCTCTTTTTTTTTCTTGCTCCAAATTTTGTAAATTAAATTTGAACAAAAAATACAAACAAGACAGCTTTGTCTCTCTACACAGGTGATTTTCTCTTTTCAATTTTGAAGGCTTAAGGTTCTGAAGCTCAGAAAGAATCAAATTATGGCTCAGAAATTGTGAGCTAATTTTTTTTCTGAGCAGATTAAATTTTAATTTTCACGCAAATCCTGAGTGACATTTCATGAAAATTCGGCTTCAATCGCCTAATCCCCTATTCACATCCTTCCTTTCCAGATCAATTCACTTTCAGGGAAACGATGAAAAACTTTTGAAAATTAATATCTTTCACCTTTTTCTTTTAAGCTTTTATTCGTTTTCAGATCACAACAAACGATTTTACCAATATTCTTGTGCTCCGCCTATTTCAACTTACACCCCTTCCCTTTCCTTCCCTCCCTCCCTCTCTGAATTATTCTCACTTCATTTTCATCTCCTTTTCATCACTTTCTCCTCTACCTCCCTTGTCAATCTACCGCTTTCCCATTTTCCTCTTTCATTCTTCCCGAAGCACATTTTTTGAACAAAAAAAAACCTTTTCCTCTACTACTACTATCTTCTGGCCTATTAAGCTTTTTAGCAACAAGTCCTACCTGGCGATTCTCCAGTCGCCCTCTTACCCTCCTACACATTCATTTCCTTGTTCGTCTTTTATTCCATTCACTCTTACAACTCTTTCATGAAATTCAAAACAATACGATTCTACAAAAAAATCGTTCTAAACGACACAGAATGTCCTAAGTACAACTCATGACTTCGCAATTCATTTGTTCTCGCTGTTCTGCTATTTCAGCTTGAAGAAAAGAATTTAACAAAAACGGACAGAGCATTTTATAATTTCCATGTTTTTCATACGGAACCAGCATACTTTTCTGTGCACATGGCTCATCTACACACTTATGTTTGCAAGAAAAATTTTCTGTTTGAAACGAGAAAAGATTGGTAGTAGAGAGTAGATGGATACAAATCCTTCTTACTTCGGGATTACTCTGATAAAGGAAATCTGCTGTTTTGGGGAAAATTGTCTTTCAATTTCTCTCTGTAACGATTTAACAGCTCACCTCATTTGCTCATATTTTATTCTCTCTTTTTTCAATCGTTTGTTTCCTTTCCAGTTTTATCGAAGGCGAAAGATTTTTTCTTCCTTATGACGTAGTCGGTAAAGTACTTTTTCCCTTCCATCAAGCATCTGAATACTTTCAGCCCACCTAGTTTTAGGTGGAATTTAAAATAATAAAAAAAACGATAAAACTCGAGTCAGATATAGACAAATAGAGAAAGTTATTTTCACCTTCGAAGCTGCCTTGAATAAAACAAAGTTTTACACGATGTGTTTGTTATTTAAGGCAGTATCTCCATTTCCATGACAAGTTGCTTCACCTTCTAGCAGAAACTTCATATATGCGAAACAACTTCTCCTTTTATGAACTTGAAGTATTTTGAAATGAAACGAAAATCCATTTTTTGTTATTTCATTTTGGTTTAGGGAGAATTATGCTGTAATCCTATCATTTAGAAAACAATGAAAATCATGGATTACAATAATCTTTTTGTTATTTTCATTTTCTTTTTTTTTCGAGAAAATTGATTATTCCGCAATTGAACTTTTTCGATCTCCCGTCCTCTTCTGTCTGTTCATTGTCCGAGGTTCTGAATATCCCATAATTTACATATATAGCAATTTCGTCTGTTACGCACTTTTAGTCATCTTCTTCATCGATTATTCATTTTGTATTTTCAATATATATTTTTTTTCCAGAATATGAATTCTACTTTGGCTCCTCCTCAAGTAATTGTCAACACCCCACGTCCTCAACAGACGAAAGATCAAGGTAATATAGATATTCCCTACAAACTCAACGACCATGAATATTCCAGGAGCTTCAATGTTATCAATTTCTCTCAACAACTTTATAAGCAGACCAAGTGAGTCCTATTCATCGATAACAAGGTAATTGTATTATGCTCATTAAGAATCGCCAAACAAAATGGATGAGAAAAAAGGCCGCAAATCACCTGCACCGAAGAAAAAATGAAAATTGTACGAACAAGCGTCAAAGTACACAAAGCGATCTCCCTAATATAGCTATGAAAACGGTTTTAAAAATAATTTTTTGTACATATTTATGTATATTGTGTGTGTCAGCAATTATGGAAAAAAATTCTGTTTGAGTTGACCGAAGGATGTCGTTGATTCTAAATAAAAACATTCTTCTCTCTGATCCATCAAATATTTCGATTTTTGAATAAATAAAGCCTCTGCCGTCCAATAACCAAATGGAAAACATGAAAACTTATATTGGAAAGCGGAGTTTCCAAATAATTTCAAGAGAGGGAACGATATAAAAAGATTTCTTTGTTCATCTTCAATTCCAAATGTTATAACACTATTATTTGATGGAAAGGAAAGTTAGCGATCTCTGTCTAATTCGTAACAGCGTATATAACAAGTCATCGTCTATAATAATATTTTTATTTTCTTCACTTTAGTTATGAGAGAAAGACACCGCGGACTATCTGTTCTTGAAGTTATCTTGCGTTGAACAAAAAGTCAAATGGGTTCTGGAAGTTATTGAAGTATCGTTGGGATGGCGACATCGTCTGCAAAACTATGATTAGTTCTCATTTTAGAAGAGTGTTCATTGAGATTCTTCATTGTTGACATCCGAGGAGGGAAGAAATGATCTGAGAATGCTTAGTTGACCTCGATTCATCTTTTTAATCTTTCAAATTTTGATTAAAACAAAAGAACAAATATCAGAAAAGCAAGTGAAACATTACAGTTGGAGAGTTGTAAGGCTCATATTGGGTCGAATACAAATCTGCAGGGGCTTTCTCTCCCGTCATCATCTCTGTTAATCCTTGACCAATTAGCTACAATTTCAGAGAAACCATTAAAAAATGAAATAGTGAAGTACTTGCATTCCATGATCCATATGCCAGACTGGATCATTGGATTGGCGTCGAACTCGAAGTCTGTATGGTTAACTGGTAAGAACGTAAACTATCCTTGACAACTTACTTTGATTGAACTTGCAAAACAACCGTCAGTTGAATAAGACAGAACAAAAAGATTTTATAGTTAATCATTTATTCTAGTTCAATGAAAGTTATAAACTGATCACAGACTTAATTGATTTTAAGATCACAGGTTCAAATGAATACCATAAATTCGTGACTAGAATGATGAAAGTAACAAAGCTTAAATATACACGAATAAAACCCGTTGATGCATACAATTCTTAATTATATAATTCGATTCCCCCATCTTACATTATCCTTGTTTCTATGAATCTCCAAGTATACCTCTGGCTAATGTTCCATCTTCTTCACAAGACTTAGTCCAATATTCCGTAAAATCTGAGAAAGTAATTAGCTGATTATGTCTTTCTATGGCTTTATCATACTAGGAATCGTATACTGCTTCCGAGGTTTTTCCCATAATAGACGACATATCTGACAGAATCCCCACGGTTTTTCCAGAGCATCATGGTTTTTCCCATCAAGAAAAACTACTTTGTAATCTCTTCTCCAATCGAAGTACTCCCTTTAAGTAAGAGATACTAAAGTTAACAATCTATTTCTTACATGTAAGCTGTCTTATTAGACATTAGATATTTCAAATGAGTGGCCAATTCTTCCGTTGTTTTAAAATCGTCCACAGCGATAAAAGAGTTGGGAGGCACGAACGGTTCAGTCAGCTTCCTCTTAACAAAAGGATTAGTGAGCTTAGTGCAGGTGGGAAGTATACCGACAGTACAATAGGAACAACATCTCTTCCATAGCCCTGATTCCATAACTTCTCAGTGAGATAATCTTTACATATTGAGTTCTCAACAGCTACATAAAAATGATATCTGAGAAGGGAATATTATTATTTTTTTTCTATTGCGTCGTACTCGTTGTCTAATGCGTCTTCACACGAAGCACCTCGTGGACATCGCAGATTTCCACAAGCTCCATACACATCAACGGGAAAATGTTTCTAATTATAAGTTTTCATATGAGGTTCAGAAAGTTTTGAAATACCTTCAGACTACCTATTATCTGTTCTCGACGGCTATTCGTAGAACAATGGCTAACAAACCATGCTGCTCCTTTAAACTTCTTATTTACTCTTACGGAATCGATAAGCTGCAAAACAATTCATAAATATATTATTTCATATTCGATAGTTATATGTAATCACCTGTCCTAGCTTTCGAGATTGTGGTGCCAGCTTGACTGTATAACCGTATGGAGAGGATGTAGGACTATCATGACGATATCCTAATGTCATATTATAAAAGTTATCAACATGTGTTTGAGTTGCGGAGTTTTTCGGTGATTCCTATAATTATCATACCAAATAACATGAAAGATTCAAAATTTAAACTACTTGACTGAAATAAATGTAATATTGATCACTTTTTCTGTATTTCTCATTGGACTTGGCGATGAGCAGCAACTGAAACACCCTATTAAGCAAGTTCAAACAATTTCAATATTATAATCTGTTCATCTCTCCTTGGATCATTTTTACACGTGGTACACGTCACTTGCGTGAATAATTCACGTGAACCGCACTTTCATAATGCTTGAACTGACAGAACTGGTTGCGCTTTAACTCTCATTGTACACAATAAACTAACCGCATCAGCCTCATCTGCTTTACTACGGTCTCTTGATAATACACAGTTCCATTCTGGACATCCTTCTAAGTTACTCTGATCATGACCAGCATTAATGCTAACTATGAGTTTTGGAGGAGCTGAAATGACATTAATGTTTTGAGTGAAACAACTTGAAAGAAAAACCTGTTTGATCAGCTTTACATGTTAATTTTTCAGCTAAACTAATATCATAATTGGTCATTAGTTCCTGAACAAAGAAAGATTCTCCTTCAACAGGCTTGAACTCGAAATATTCTGAATAGTTCCATATATATAAAGAAAACGACGATGAAAGTGTACGTTTCTCCTCTAACAATTGTTTCTCCGCCGACAATACTTCTGGCTCATCCTGTTGCTCCTTCAAATCCATATTGATAACATTATTTGGTTTTATTACTTTATTCCGAAATTTATTCTGAAATATGCGTTGTTAATCGAGAGAGAGAGAGAGAGAGAAGAGTGTGAAAGGTAGAGAGCAGGGTGAGAGGGAGAGTGAAAGAGAAAGCAAAAATGAATAAAACCAACCCTTTCAGCGTTTGGAGACTTATCGGAAGGCAAATTAGGAAAATATACGAAAACAGCATAGGTTATACAGCAGGTTATCATTAAGAATTTCCATTTCTGGCTATATCCTACTCGCATTGTGCATTACGAAGTTCCAACTCCCCACCTGATCTTTCAGAATCTTAAAATAGAGTTTTATTTCAATTCTCAATACTTGACAGAGCAATGAAACGCAAAAGACACCAAAAGAAGAAAAATCTAATTTGCATAATTTACTGACTTTGACAGTGATTAAGCTGGAAAAGAATAACAATAAAAAGAAAAGAAAGTTTGCCACCTCATCACGTTTGCAAACGTAGATATGCTAATTAGCTGAATTGAGCTTGAATCGGATTCAACTGCTAAAGCTTTCATAAACGATTGTAGTATATAGGAGTAGAGAAAAGAGCATTTGCAACAAATAAGGAAAGTTTAGGACAAAAGCCAAATGGAGAAAACAAATTTTTTTAACTTTGAAGATTTGGTTGCCAAAGTAAGAATTTCCGAAACTGAAACAGAGTCGAACTCTTCGTCTCCTCCTTTCGTAAATTCCCTCTATACGTAGCCATAGAGACGGGATAGATATGAAAAAAAACTTTCTTTCAACATTTTTTCAAAAATGTAGTTTTCATAACTATTTTTGTGATTTAAGATTCGTAATAATTATTGGAATGAGAGAAAATAATACAACCTGATGTTTATGAAGGGAGCCCTCAATACTAGTTGAGAACAGGATGAACTGTTACTCATAAGCGCTACTCTGATATGAAGGGGCTTTTTTGTGGGCAGAGAAGTATTAACTATACATATAGATTATTGGTATATCCTACAAGTTATTGAATATGAATTAGTAAAGGACAATCATTACAAACTGCACTCCTTTCTTTATAAGAACTCTATTCGAACCCGCTATCTCCATGTCTTTTTCTCTTTTCTTACAAAACTTTTTTTTGCAAATAAGAGTAAAAAAAAACAAAAATGGTGAAAGAGTGAAGAGGAAAGAGAATTACACAGAGAGAAAGAGAGAGACAGAGAGAGAGAAAGAGAGATTGAGGAAATAAGACAGATATGGAAAAAAATGAAATGTGAAAGTCTACAGAGATCCAAAACTGAGGAAGTATGCCGACTTGTGATTGAAAAAAAAAGAAGAGAGCATTGATGTTCTCAAAGTATTCATTAGATATTTCATTTATTTATCGGGTGTGATAACAGCAGTGATACAATCTTATTTGATTTTACTGATAGGGCATGTTTCATTAAACTATTCTGTAATTAAGGTTTTGAACACAAGCAGATATGTATTTGGCCTTTAAATAATCATACGGGGAAATTGATCTCATATTTAGAAAAAAATAAAAATTTCAACTGTATGTTTCATCGATTCTTTCTCTCTATCTCCCTCTCCGCCTATTCTATCTCTTCGTCAACCAAAGTATGTTTTCCGGTTTAAAAATCATAAATTTCAATTTTCGTACTGCTTTGTTATCTGTAGATATAAAGAAAGAAATAATTAGAGGATGAGGTGAGGGTGACGTTTTGAAATGTGAGTAGTGATTATGGCTAATTTAGGTATGAGAACTGAAGACAGAATGATAGAACAGAGATTTCTTATAAAACGAACGTTTCACAGCTTAGAGTTCGAACGATAAAAGAGAGAACGAACGTTATGTTATAGAACGCGATATGGAGTGTGACTGAACTTTCCTCAATTCTTACTTATTTCTCTTTCCCTCTTCTCCTATCTCTTTCTCTTCCTCTCTCGTCCTACCTCTCTTTTTCCCTCTCTCTCTCTCTCTCTCTCTCTCTCTCTCTCTCTCTCTTTATATCTCTGTCTTCAGTGTGTTCTAACTGATACTGCTGTTAAAGCATAAATACAGATGATCTAATATCGTTTATATTGTATTTAATGTTGTTGAATTTGTATATTTGCTATGGAAGTTGTAAAGTGAAGGATTTGAGCATGTACGACACACATACGTATATATACAAATTGATTTGAACAAGAAAATGAAGCCATTTTGAAGAATCTTGAGTTTCTCTGAATGATAATACATTGGTTTCATTCAATATTTTTTATTCATAAACATTATGTAAAGTTCGAATGAGAAAAGATTTACTTGAAATTATAAGAAATGCTTTGCATCGATCACATTTCACATGAGACAGAGAACTAAATTACTCACTTCATGATATTTAGATAATTGAAAGAAATGACATAAATGTGGAAGGAGGAATGAAAATATGGAGAGAAGAGTGGATGGAAAAGAGAGATGAAAATTAAGAAAGTGAGAAGGAATAAAGAAAGAAAGGAGGAGGAATAGGAGGAGAGCTTTTTCGATCAAGCTCCTTTCAGGTATTCTACTGCTTCTGTTTTCATTCTCCATCAAAAGAGAAAGAATAAAAATATTTATATTTTCCTAAATATGATGGCACGTGTCATCAACTGGATCATCTCATCTACCATGAATTACGTTCAAAAATATGCTGAAAAAGACAAGTTACTGAACATTCATTGACAACTTGTAACAAAGGTTCGAGAAGAACGAAATTCTCAGATCCGCATTTCATTTGCTTTCTTAACGTTAGATTTTTCCTGATTGCATTCAAACGGTCACTTCATTTACATATTTCTCTCGTTGATGTCCAAGCGTACATACATATATGAATGTATATAGTCATTTCCAAGAAAGTTCGGGAAAAACTTATGAATAACGTTCGATTGAAATATTTCGTATTGTTAATTATATTCAGATAGAGCATAAAATGATATTTTGGTTAATAACTCATGGAAGATAGCTGGTTACTCCTTCAATATCACCATTGTGCACTTTACGTAGAGATAGCTCTATTAATCTTTATTTATTATGCATCGTCCTGGACAACCAATGGTTTGATGTAACCGTGTGTTCTAAGAAATATAAAAGATAGATGTTCGTCTGCTTCAATGTGTACCTTCAAGCGCTTGAAATGAAGGCAATTCGTGAATGAAAGCCTGGTTACTCATTCCTATAGGAACAACATAGTTCATAATGAGTATAACTGGTAGAACTCATACGTATGGCGAGGGCTATCATAGTTTTTTTGAAAATATCATCATCTATCATTCCATTCTCAGTTCTATGGAAAAAATCAAATACTCGACTGTGATCGTGATTTTGACATTATAAGTATACTAACTCGCCACTTGACTACTCCTGTTATATGTTCACGCATCTTTTCGAAAATACCTGAGTATTTAAAAGCTCGTAAAGTTTCAAAAAACTACTGATGTGAAGAGATCTTTTCGTTAGTAATCACACTATGAGAGAATCAAATAAAAATATCACTTCGATTCTCCAGCTCCATTATACATTGTAAGTGTGTGATCCCACATCAGATTTAGAAACGACAACAGTTTTCTATTCTCTATAGCGCACAGTTTTGAGAAAAATTCAATTTCAACACAGGAAATGTGTATCTATCTTAACTAATAAAATATATTATGAAAGGAAATTAGAGTAATATTGGCGACCAAAGGTTTTGAGAACGAAAATCAATTTTGGAGTTATGAGTTGTTTAGCCCAATCAGTATTCTCAAATTATGATATTTGCCTATAGTCCTGACAATTCATTTTCCGTATTAGTCATAGTTTCGTGATTGCAACTAGACATTTTGACTTTGACCAATCATTTTTGTGTCTCAGTCCCCCCCCTCCCCTTGTTACAGGAAAAGGCCTTCTTATACTTCTTGATAACGTTTGCAAACAAGCAACGTTAGCATCAAGATTACAATGTTTAGTCATATATGAAGAAAGCCTTAGATGAACCAAGAATAGAAAACCGTAATTTTCATCCGAACAACGGAAGTTTTATAACCGGCTGTCAATGAGTTTTAATGCGCGTTGGCACTGTCACCGAGCTATCCTCTTCCCATTCTAGCGTGCTTTACGCTCATTGCTTACTACGAATCTTGTTCTTGCTACGAAGGTTATAAGCATACATCGACCAGTAGTATAACTTCAACTTACTTCTTTTTCGATGTATAACAGGCGCCAACATTATCACATATGAATATTCATAGTTTACACTTCCTATTTACTTGAATCACACACAAACTCATGCTTAACGTGTTAAACAGTAGCGTCAGCGCCTGAAAGCTGAGTTGATGGAGCTCTCGAACTTTTGAGTTTCCCTACTTCATACGTGTTTGACGTTTACGAAATGCGCTGCCCTGCTTTGCGCGGCAGTTTTGCGAAAACAGCAACTGAGTTTCAAAGTTTTCCATCATATTGTTTTTTTTTTGGCTTCTTTCATTTATTTATTCTAGTCTTCAAGATTCCTTCACATTTGTATTCAACACTGAATTCAG